GCAAGCAAACTGTGAAATAATTGAAAAGGTATGTCAATCAAGAGCAGGAGCACAGCGGGAACTCCAAGATTCCCAGGCTCTGCTCTGGTCGAGCACTGAGCCATGGAGGGCTGCTCAAGGGGGCAACCCAAGAAATTAAAGACCTGGGAAAAGGAACAAAAAGAAGACAGGAGGAAAGGGGCAGAAAAATCTCTTTTTCTCACTCTCTCTTTGCTCAGTCTTTCACTCTTTTCTGCTTTAAATGTGTGATGAAAGGAACCATTTTGCCACACTTTGTAGAGCCCAATTCAAAATGCTTGGTCATTAATAAGATCTTGTCTAGCTCTTCACCTCTCAGGTGAGTAACAAAGACTTATTGGGGGGTGGGGGCGGAGATGGGGGGGGGAACAGCCATTGGAAGTGCCTGCCCCCACCACCAAAACCCCCATCTTATAACCAGCACCTTCACCCTGTACCCGCTCCCTCCTCCTCCCCCATACCATGAGTCTGACAAAAGGGAACCCCGTGAGAGTGTCTCTCTCTTTCCTTTCTGTCTTTTTTTCAAAGTCAGAAAAGGCTTGAATGATCTGACGATGGGCTAACGTCCAAAAAATGGGAGACGGAAAGAAAAGAAAGAGTAAAAAAAAAAAAAGACTGGGTAAAAGACTTTCTCTATGCTTTTAAAAATCCCATAGAGGAGAAATAAATGGCAAGTCCACAGTTGACTAGACATGTATAGTGCAGGATTTGCTTGTAATGGCAGCTTGAGCTTATTGACAGTCTCAGCCAAAACATGTCAAAGGTTAAGAGATCTTGCCAATTGCAAGTGGGAAGCCAAAAGTACCTTTTTCATGAGCTCAATAGGGCCATCAGTTGATACTTGCTCAGCAGAAAGTGGAGCAGGAGTGACCTTCAGTTTTCAATGCAACTCAGGAACAAAAAGTTAATTTGTCTCCATTATTTGTCCCTCTTCTTTCTAATTGTGATATTGTTTAAAAGATTTGAAACATTTCCTGAATAAAAGTTATTAGAAAATAATTTAATTTTCTCTAAACATAGTCAACTCTTACGCTATGTTAAGGGTAATTATATTTGAGCAAACTAGCTATTTCTGCCCGTTTGTGTAGATACAATTTATTTCTTTACACCAGGCCATATGTTAGAAAATATTAATACATTATTTATTAAAGAGAAGACTACTCCCACACTGAACTTCCAAATGTTAGATATATTCAGCGACTGGACATATTTGTTCAACTGAAGTTTAAGTTGGTTCTCAGGGAATTAAAAAGTCATCATCATCCAATTTTGATAGAATAAATTGTCTTAGGATTTCTCAGTCAAACCTCTGGACATATTTTTGACTTTTGATAAATGTAACAGTCTTAATCAAAAATATATAAATATATAATAATATATATTTCTAGAAAACAATGTAAATATTACAGCGCATTTCTTCAAGTCCAGTGGCTAAACTCAGCGTTCTTTCCAGTAATGTGACCTTTGGATTTCAGCAGTTAGGGAAACCCTCTAATAGCTTGAAATACCTCACTCTGATTTCTCAGGCTTTGAACACAATGGAGTGACTTTTCAAAGGGGAGACTGTGAGTTATATGGATCTAACTGGTCTTTATAGATGTGTGGTCAAGCATCCAGAGCCCGAGTGATTCCTCGAGACGATGTGAAATCCCCATTTCATGTCCTCAGATCTTTTGTGTCTGCTGGCTGCCACACCAGCATGTATGAATGAAATGACATGTAGGGTACCTATGAGACCGGAGGAGAAGAAGGACAATATTTAATTTGCTGTAGACACGAGTTGGGTGGAAAACGATTGCTAAACTTGAAAACTCCCACAGATGGTCGAGGTTTATGCCAATATGTTTTTTTTTAAATAAACTACATTAACAAAATCAGACTTTACAAGATTTCTTGGTATTTTTTTTATATTTTAAGAAAATATTTGACTGTTCGGAGCCAACGCCTTGCAATGTCTCAGATGTGACAAACATCCTTCCAACACACCTACTGTGCCTGGAACTCAAACCAGCAAATAATGGCAATTACTGCTGGCACCACTTTCAGGCACCAGTGGTTTTCATTGGCCTGGACTAATCCCCCATAAATCCTTGCAGCGCTCCAATCGCCAGCCGGGCCTCAGCTAATTGCTTATGAGTCGCTTGCATGCTCCAGGTGCCACCGTAGCACACCCGGTGTTTGTAAACACAGCTCGTAAAGAGGAGGCTGCCATCAAAGTGTTAATGTTTCCTCGGAGGATCAGAGGCTATGCGGGGATGATGGGGGTGCAGCTGGGCCGGTACCTGGATGGACCCGACGGAAGGCATTCCCTCCTTCCCTGCAGCTGCGGCGAGTGCAAAGGGGGCTTCATTTACACGGCCCTGTCAGAGAAGAAAGACACTCAACAGGAGTTTGTGTTTGTTTACTTTCCTCCTCTTTCCTTTCCTCCTTTTAACTCTTTGTACTTCTCTGTGTCTGCGCCTGAAGTAGATGACCTCACTTTGTAAGCACGAACTGGTGATGTTCAGAGCTGAAGCAAAAAAAAAGTTTGAGACAGTTTGCGTGTTTAGAGTGATAGGGGTAGCAGATGTGTGTTTTTAAGTTTTGGAGCCCTTCAGATGTGCTCTTTGAAATCAGCCACAGTAGTCTGATGATATTAGCAGCCGCCCTGTAGAGAAGGAGTTAGTTAGTTAGTAGCATCTATGAATGAATGAATAAATGAAGATTTTATGTCCGTGTCTGGTCAGTTTTCAAGATCTATCCCTCATGGGATTATTCAGACACATTAACTAACAACAAAACAAACATTCCGGCTTGTTAACCCACTGCCATCTCACAACAAAATACATAAACATAAAAATAAACCTTACACAAATGACTTTCCAAAAGATATCCCACAATACAAATACAACATAATAAGAATATGCGATTATGTTTTAATCTGTACAACATTTCACACGGACGACAGGTTCACATGTCTATTTTGAATACTCACATGTCCATTTTGTGGCTGAAAATATTGCTCTTAACCATACTAGCTATAAAGAGGATTATGATGATTACATTGTAAGTGAACTGGGACAAATTCCACACTCCTCATTCAGTATGAAGTTGCATTATAAAGTTGAAATATGAGGGAATTCTGTCCCTTCTCATTCACTTCCCAAGGACAATGACAGCAGCACTCATTTCAAAAAGTGCCCCAAAACAGCCCACATTCAAGTGACAAAGCCCTCTAGTGGCTGTAGGAGGAAGTCAGGTGATGTGACGATAGAGTGACTAGGTTCAGGTAGGGAGGAGGAGGTCGTTGTGGATGAATGAGTCAACAAAACATCGGACTGTAACACGGGATATTGATGTTTGTTTGCCTGTTTCCAACTGGCAGTCAACATTGGTTTTTTTTTTTAAGCAAGACCATAGCCATTACCAGACCATAACCAAGTATTTATTTATTGTTGTAACCATGACGAGGAAGCCTCCATAACCATAGTTATGTTTCTGTAACCTTAACAAAGACCCAAACCACGATCTTTCCCCTAACCTAACCAAGTCCTTTTTGTGCCCAACGTTGTCACATCAGAACAATGGCAAACAATGGCGACACGCTTCTATGTACAAACAAGACTTACTGTGTATTAAGATGGTCTTGAAAAAAATGTGACCCTATCCTTTAAAGTCTGGTTAAAACAAATATTAAACTCATTATTTAGTCAAAAAACATATTAAGTCGAGCCTTTGCGCCAAGTTCAGCTTTACTGTTCTTTCCAAACAAAATCTGGGTTTGCACAAATAAATAGGTAGAAAAAACTGCAGAGCAGGGGGAGTAGCACCTGTGAAACTCCTGGTGTGAGCGTTTATTTTTCATTGCTGGATGGCTTTAACCAGCGAGACCATTCAGGAACTCAGTCACTGCCCTGTACAAGACTTGTGGTTGTGCCGAGGCAGCTGGGGGTTGGTCAGTTGGGTGGCCGGTGGCCCATTGCTGCTTTCATGACTACTTCATTTCCTACCAGCTTTGGGTCACCCTGTCCTTCAGCACCTTGATCTGCTTCTATGTTTACAGCATCTTTCCAAAGCCAACAATCTTTTCTCTCAACTACGCAGCGGTGCCTAGCCTCTCAGCAACAACATTACATGTTTTCTCTGCACAAACTTGGTTTTTTCAGGGGTGTAAAGAGGAAGATTTCGTGCTCTGATCAGATAGCGGACCACATCAGGGTGCTTTTGAAGGTGTAAGTGGGGCAAATAAAGCAAGAAAACATGTCATCTGAAAGAGAGCTTCATCTCCAGCAATTAGCTTCTATTCAGGACCCTGTGGTAAGCCTTCAGGTCATCTCCAAAACATCTCCCTGTTGTAGCCATGACAATGGGTGTGTGCCTTTATTTTTGTATGCAGACAAAAACCAGATCAAGAGTGAGCCACATGGGACTTGTTTGCAATCAGTGCCCAGAGGAAACAATTAACCCACAAGCTTGCCAGCTTTTTCATGGGATGAAGTGAGTTGGAGAGGCTGCCTAAGTGGCCAGCAGACACGGGTTTTATGTCCCTCAATAAACAACACTGGGCATCATCCGGGCGGAGTGTCACATCTGGAGTCAAGAGACTTGAATAGATGCAAGCAGCCAGGCAGAATGACACTGTGCAGGCTCAGACACTATGTATGTGTATGTAGCTCAGGATGTGGTGCTGAGACTGGGGTCTGTTGTTAAAGTTTCTATGAGAAATAATGAGAATTTCCCACCTTTTCTGATATGATCAAACCTATTGCTCTAGATGCTCTGAGCTAGCCCAGTCCTCTCACAAAGGGAGCTCTCTAAGTCCATTGTGCATGTCCTGTATATGTGTGTGTGTTTTTTTTTTTTCTCTTGTCTTGGGCTCTCTCTCCCCAGAGCATATGGCTGTCTGGTATCCTAATCGCTAATGATAGAGTGGCTTTTGATGGGGAAACTCCCAAAGCTAGATGTTTCTAACCCAGACTCTTGTTCCCTCTTTTATTTTCCAGGCCTGATGGAAATCCGATCTGTCAGTGTGGGAGTTGTTGCCATCAAATCTGTCAGCACCGGGCTGTACTTAGCTATGTCCAAGAAAGGCACACTCTTTGGATCGGTGCGTATACAACCCGGCAACATTGTTCCTGGAGGTCAAGATGGGAGGGCTGGGAAGGGGGTGGTGGTGGGGGTGGTGAGGGTAGGGGAGGTATATGCAGTATGTATAGGGGTCCCAAATGAGTGCCTACCCAAACATGTTTGATTCTGCTGAAGGGAAGGGAAACGTCAGGAATCTTCTGCTGGAAAGTCCAGAAAAGGTCAGTGTTAAATCAATCACGGCTGTACACCTGGGCTTTGGTTGATGATACCTGCAGCTTGAGTTGGCTTTTTTCCCTCTGTCAAAATAGATAGCATAGGAAAGAAACCCAACAAGCAATGACAAAGAGCCATCTGGGCTCCTTTAAAAAGTCTTTGCGTGCCATCTGCTAATTGTTGTTTCACACAGAAAAGCTTTCAAAAGTAATCACCTCTCTTTGTTAAAATCAGCCACATATCAGACCTGAGTGTCTGGCTCATATATTTACATCTCAGAGAAGTAGAATCCAGGTACAAGCAATCAGTCAGCAGCAGTGATAAGACAAGTGCCTTCAACAAGCTAACACGGTAAACACGACATAAACAGACCAGAAGACCCAGAGCTTTCCAAAAGCTGAAACCTCCCATAATAACAAAAAGGCAGGTGAATCACGCCAGGCTCATACTATGCTGATGTTATCACAGAGAGGGCCTCATTACGGCTGCACGATAGCAATCTGGAAAAGGGAATGCAGCAGAACCTCTACAATCACTACAATATCTTTCAAGACTCTTTGAGTAACTGATAAGAAGTGGTAACCACCCATGGAAAAGTGTGCTGTGCCGACTGTTGAACTACCTTCACAGATCAACATACCTGCAGACAAAGCTTGTAACTTGAATAAAAAAAACTGGATCAGAAAAGTGATATAATGATTTTGATATAAATTTGGCATTAATGTGGGTATTTTTTATTTACAACTGTGTTAATTTTGATTGCTTTGAGTGGATCACCCAAACTATTCTCTATATTGTTGGTTTTATGTGTGGTATTATGAGATATTTTGGGGTTTTGAGCTTTGTTTGTGCCACTGAAACCAGTAAAGACTCATCTTACTGTTTTAAGTTTCAGTCAGTGATCAGTTTTCAGAGATTGGTCTCAATGAAAACTGAAATAGGTTACTGCGAGTAACCCATATTCTGGATATTACTTTTGGGGTTTTATTATTTATTTTATTATTCAATGCTTTCTTAGCAGCACAAATACAATTCCACTGACATGTAAAACTGTATTAGGTTGACTGAAAAGAAGTTTCAGAGGTGGATATCTCATAACCCCAAAACTGCATGACACTGCCAGGGAGAAGTCCTTTTTTTTTTCATTTGGGGGAACCAACCTTTTAATTCTAGACTGAAAACTTCCACAGTGGCCTTCAAAAGACAAACCAGCTAAATGAAATACCACTGATGAAATACTCACCCTATCAACTACAAACACCTGGAAAATCTTTTACTGCGACAGACATTAACCTTTGTGCCCTTCTTGGAAGCTGGCCTAGTACAGCACAGTAGGAATAGCTATACACTCATCTGTTATAACCTCTTTAACCTCTCTGTCCTCCTCCCTCTGATCACAGGTGAAGTACAACCCGAGCTGCAAGTTCAAGGAGCGCATTGAGGAGAACGGCTACAACACGTACGCCTCCCTCCGCTGGAAGCACGGCGGCAGGCAGATGTTTGTTTCACTGAACGGGAGGGGGAAGCCCCGACGAGGTCACAAGGCTCGACGAAGGCACCCGTCTACTCACTTCCTACCCATGCTCCCCTCCTAGCTGCCCAAGTCTGAACTCTGACCAGCAACTGGCTGGCTCCCCCGCCTCCTCACACTAGTGTTGATCTAGTCGTGACGGCAATCTTTATTTTTATTATTCCATCCTCCTGTCACATAAATGTACATTTGTTGAGGTTTGTAACATTTGTAGAGTTAGTATAATATGTACTTTTAAGTTATTTCCCCCCATTTTCTAATCATGTTCCATAATACAGTCCAATACAGTAGAAATATACTATCTTCAGGCATCAGTCTGTGTCTGAACTGCATGTAAAGCAGAGTTTGGGTGACTTCAAGAGACTGTAAGAGGACTGAAAAGGGACAGCAAGGCTTGGAAACAACAAAATGTGACTCACTGGTTTGTTATTTCGCCTATTTTAGATGCCCAGCTAAGTAAGAACAGAAGCATCTGGTACAGCTACAATGACATGTATCTAGTCTGCGATGGATGACTAGTATCACTATTAGAAAAAGAAGCAACTTTGAAATAGCTACTAATCAGGGCCATAGCAACCATTGAGGACACTGAGGTCGTGTCCTCAGTATTTTATGTGGTCTTTTCGGGTGAGTCATATTCTTTAATTAAAAATGTATGTGTAGTTGACCGATTTCAGTATTTTAAGACTTAATATTGCACATTTAGCTTTACTAAAAAAGCAAATGTGAATTTATTACACTGAATACACATTTCTCATCATCATACGTGGAGCACATTCAAATGTGAAAAATTCCCATATTGAGTCATTGTCTGGTGTCTCACATAGGAAATCTGTAAGATTATATTTACAAAAAAAACTTTAATATTATATATGCAACACTGTTTCCCATATTATACATTCACATACCGGCACATGATTTATCGCATGTGAAACACATTTAGGTATAATGTGTAAAAAAAAATAATTTCACATGTTGTAAGGCTAAATTTGAATACTTTTAGGCCAAGAAAAATAAATAAACAAATGAAATTTAAAAAGGTATTTATCCACCATCCAGTTTAATTTATGTGGAGTGAAGTGGTGAAGGCTTAATATAATTAAAGAACAGAGCAAATAAGATGAGATGAGAAATCCATTAATTTGTTTATTAATGAAAAAATTGGGGGGGGTTGGACTCATGACCTCAGTATTTCTTAAAATCCTGGCTATGGCCCTGCTAAAAACATCTCCACCGTTGCTTGGGATGTACTGTACTGACACTACTGGATAAGAGACACTGATCTGCCCCAGAACTGTACAGGCGAGTCTCATCGGACTCAAAAAATTGATAAATGTACTGTTCTGGCTGTATATGTCAACATATGACAAACACAACAGGAACTAAGCTAACTACTGGGATAACATGCTGGATTTTCTGATATGACCTTCATATGTTTGTGCATGCTTCTGTCAGACTGCTTCTCCCATTCAACAACCCACAGCTAATAGATTAGAAAGCAGTATAGGAAAAAAAAATGCATTGTGTCTCATCTAGTCTCTGATTCTTGGTCCTTAGTTCAGTCGTGAAATAATAATATACGTTTTGAGTCATTTAATGCATTATAGCAGCCGTAGGAATGCCAGATGTCACTAGCAGAAAATTCATTAATTTTGTACACAATAGTAAATGGTTATTACATACTGCCTCTCTGTCAAGTCTTGCTAACATTTTCTCAAGGCTGTTGCTAATAGAACATTTAATATATTTAAAACATTTTGTACTCTTTAACTGTTTGAAGTTGATGTTTATCGTTATTGTCGACTTTTTGTGTTGGATTGTAGTCATACTGTTAAAAAAAGAAAGGGAAAAAGTAACCGTATTCAAGTCCATATTCAACTCATTTTGTATGGTATTACTACTGGGTATTGGAACATGTGTGATCCACTTATCAAAAACAGCTTTCAGCTATAGGCCAGTAATAGAGGTTTGTATATGGCCAAAGTTTCAAAACAAACAAGTCTTTAGATTCATTTCAGCAAAGTAAAATCATTTGAGTGCCTTGGTCCATGCTGAGTTTGGTTAACTTCAATAAAAAATGTGGATAAATCACGAGTCATGGCTCACTCCCTCGTGCTAGCGAGCCTTTCTTAAATCATCGAGTGCAAAAATGGCATTCTAATCTTGTCTTGTGCATGGTGCTGATTGTTAAGTGTTGGTAACATCTCCATCAGAGCTCTCCGCCTTAATCCCCCTCCTCATCATAATCACGACAAAACTCACAGCAGGAGAGGCGTTGATGTGGAGGACCTCCCCCTGTCTGATGAAAGGTCTACGGTTATGAACTATGCAACCGAGCATCAAGGTCATTTACACACAGACGAGCCCTCCAGTGGCACAGGAGGCCACTCGGTCTTTTCAGTGAACAGAAAGGAGAGTCGGGAATGAATAGTGGCTGTTTGGGGTGAATAAAGGCCAACCTTTCAGCCTGTCATAATGTGAGATTACTGTGACGGGGTACATGTTTGGTCAGAATGGCGTGAAGTCAAACTGTAGTTCAGCTCCAAAGGTCTGGGTGCAGCACACAGATATCAGTATGGGGGGTCTTGCAGTACTGTTGCCATGCAAATTTCTTTGTCCTCAGCTGTGCACCCTTGAGGGATTGTTACATTTTGAAAAGTAAAGACTCTTTGTATTTGTTCTCCTTTTGCTGCTGTTGTATTTAAACTGTAAAATATACTACTTTTCCCTTTCTTTCTTGCCCAAAGTTAGATGAACGTAGATATCACGTCGATATCTGTCTGAATATGAAGCTATCAGCAGCAGCCGGCTAACTTAGCTTAGCACAAAGACTGGAAACAGGGGGAACACCAACCGGCAGAGACAATACAGTCTGGCACATAAACCCCCCATGAAACTGTGAATTGTTTCTTTTTTCAAGTAAGCAGTTTCCAGTGTTTCCAGTCTTTGTGCTAAGCTCACCTCGCCAGCTGTTGTTTGTAGCTTCAATCTTAGCACACAACCTTGGGAGTGGTACCAATCCACTCATCTCACTCTCAGCAAGAAAGCAAATAACCATAATTACCAAAATGATCAACTTTTTTTACTAGAAAAAGTTTTTACTAACAATGTTGATACAACATACAATGTATGTGATATTTATTTCAGCTTGCTTGCTTTCTTGTTGTAAGATAGACAGCTATATGTAAAAATACTATATAGCAGTGCAGAATACAGTGCATTCCAGCTATACAGGTGTCTCTGAACATATGATTGTTATCCAACCGTCAGCTGGCACAGACACACTAAAACATGCACGGCACAGAGTAATCCCATTTTCTGCCTGTTCTCTCGATTGACTCGCCTCTTTGTCAGTGTGTCCTCCATCTTTTCTCCTGTACCTCTCCACTCTCCTCTTTTAACTGTCCAAGAATCTCTCCTTTCTTCTTGGCCTGAGGGTGCGACTGGCTGTTGGTGCCAGTTCCAGGGACACCAAATGGGAGCTGTAATTATCATTGCTCCACCACTGTCCTGTCAGTGCGCTCGCCAGCAAAACAAGAGGGATCCTTTGGAAGTCCTGATCAAAAGCTTTGGCCTTTGATCATGAAGCAAAAGGAAAAACCTAAACACTGTGCAAAATCAACGAGGAATGTCCCAAAGAGAGCCCCCGGAGAATGGAAATGACAGCCATCCAGAAGACATCCTCAACTCCTCCTCTGCCATGATGTGTTGATGTCAGGGGCACAGGTGTTTGGGCTGTGTTTGATCTGATCGGTGTAAACAGAAGACTGAGAGAGTGAGTCATGCAATGATGTTGTCGCTAAAGTGTCTGTCAGATAGCACCTGGTAGGCTGCACAGCAGGTGGTGTCTTTATGCTTCTGCAAAGGCCTCTTCACGATCTGAATTTGCTGGAAGCATCTGCACACTTAAAAAATCAAAAAAGTACAGTGCACCTCCACATCAGCACTTCCATGAAAACGCCACTTGGATGACGGTATTCTCCCTGAGCCAATAAAAATAGTGTTTATAGAGAAGGTTACTTTGACTGCTTCGAAATTAATTTGCAGCTGAGTGACAGAAAAAAGTAATAATAGAAGTCCATTTTGAGGGCCTTAGCCAAAATCTACAGGGGCACAAGTCATGCTGCTTCAGCGACAACAAACCACAGCCTCTGGAACCTTTGAAACCCTGTGTGGTCATTTTCTCTCACAGTGACTGAAAAGAACTGTGGTGGGTGGGAAAGAAAAAAAGAGCCCCTCGCCACTCATAATACCAATCTTATGTATGTAGACGAAAATGGGAGGGATGGGAGGGGTTGGGGGGTGGCAGACGGACTAAGGCACAATTTTAAAGCGCTTATTGAATTGCCATTACAGCTCCTGAGACTAATTGTGGCTGTTGTGTGTCTCTCGGTGGCCTAGGGGGCTCTGGAGTGGCCCTGTATGCTCTTACTCAGTGGGGTTTTCAAACCGAGTGGCCCTGAAAGAGAACAGGACCACCGTAGATCAATGGCAAACCTTTCACTCTTTCACAGGCCCTCGCTAATCCTTCTCATTTGTCTGCCATTTGTTGAGGCACATTCACAGCTCCCTGAATTTAGGATTAGGCCTTGTTTTGTTACAAAAACAGCCCAAGTTATAATGCTGAATAGATGGACTAAAGGGTGGACGACAGATGAGTGTGTGTGTGAGTTTGAGAGCATGCGTGCATGTGTATGGTTATCAGGTATACACTATGTTTATGACCAGATTCTTGAGAATGCAGAACCTTTTCAGGATTTTGTCTTAAATTCTCGTTTCAGTGACAGTTGGTGCAAAAATGATAGTTTAAGGAATTTATTGTAACTTTAATGTTCACACAGCAACTGAAAATGAGCAGAATCATGTACTGAGTGTCGTATATAGTATGATAATTTTGCCTTTATGTGTGACTAGAGGGGACAGTTTGAATTTTATATTTCAAACCTTCTGGACACAAGTGGGTGTATCATTACCTTGTGTTGTGCAAATGACAGAGGTGGCACATTGCTTAAAAGGTCAACAAAAAGACCCAAGTGGGCAGGAATAGAGAAGAGGTCGGTGCTAAATGGAGGAAAGACAAGTCCATGCAGTTTGAAAGTGTTAAGCGTCGAGTAAACGCAGACTGAACAAATGGTCCAGTGGTCAAATCTGACAATGACACAGCAAAATGTTGGATCACTTTGTCTGAATTCACCTTTAGAAAATGCATGCTACACAATGTAGCTTTGCTCAGACTCTCCAGAGATACTAAATATGTAATGCTCGATGAAAATATGCATTCAGTTATTTAAAAAAAAAAAATCAAAACCTTTACGTGATGTAATGGCACAGTAATAGACTGAATTTAATATGTTTTTTAAAAATATATCCAATAACGTTTGAGCTACTTTAAAGAGAGATTAAAAGGTTTGCTGACCTGATGAGGGGCATCTTATTCACATGCTGTATTTTCATATATCCTCTATTTCATGTGAGAGCAGAGACACTGTCCTGTGTCTCCTTTTGAAAATAAATATTTCATAAGAGAGAGGAAAAGCATGAACAAATTGATTCATCACAGTCAAATACCTGCAAAGGAAATACAATTTCATTAAAGTTGCAATGATTCCCTTTGAAGCCTAGAGTTTGTCCCCATTGTGCTCTGTCTGAACCTGAGAGTGCGCTCGGACAGTCTTGGCAGCCTGCAGCAGAGCCATCAGACTGAGGCCTTCTCATCACTGAGTGGATTAGTGTTCATGTCTGAAGCCACTTACTGGACATTAGACAGGGCTGCTGAGTGGCACATGCGCCACATTTCCCCTAAAGCCCTGCCATGCCACACCGCAGGTATGTGGTGCCGACCGGCCAAACCCCATGTCAGGCATTCTCTGGATGCCTGCAGTCGTGCCAGACACCAGGGGACAAGGTGAGGAGATGGACGGAGGGATGATTGTGTGAATCAGAATGGATGAGAGGAAAAGAAAGGAAAGTCAATAAGTGTAATCCAATATTGGATTAACAGAAAAGATTATTACGTTAGTAGGATGTACCGAGGATGAAAAATGAGAGAAAAAAGACAATTTAAAAGAAAAGAAATATGATTATTAGTTGTCTTCTATAAGAGTTAGGTGAGAAAATAAATACCACTCTTGTGTTTGTGCAGCAAATATTAAGCTACAGCCAGCAGGCGGTTGGCTTAACTCAAAATAAAGCCTGGAAACAGGGGGAAACAGCCTGGCTTTGTGCAAAGGTAAAAAATCCACCTATCAGAACGCTCACATTGTATAATGTATAATAAGTTATACAAACTGAAGTGTAAAAAGGGTAAGTTGTGGTTTTACTGGAGGTGGAGTTCCTGTAGTCCCATTGTCACCATTAGGTTGCCAAGCAACGAGTGAAGGCTTGAGATGAAACAAATGCTATATAATGTGTTAATTAGTGAGCATTAGAGGTGCTAGTAAGCAGAGCCAGCCTAGCAGTTTCCCTCTGCTGTGTGCTAACCTAAGCTAATTAGCTACTGGCTGTAGCTTGAGTTTAGTGTACTGCGTGGTATCTACCCTCTCATCTAACTCATAGTAAGACAATAAAATATCCTTACCCTTATAAAGCCCTTTACATTTGTTATTCTCTCAGAGCTCAAATGATTAAGTGTAAACAGCTTGCAAAATAACATGCAATCAACATTGTTATGTGCACTTCAAGCAGAGGCCGGTATCAGGACACCCAATGCTACATCCATTGGGCTTTGGAGTAAAAAATGTTGTTTTCAACTGCGGTATGTCTGAACTGGAACAATTTTTCTGTAGGACTGGTGTGACCTTAGACTTAAGAGACCGGTAAGATCAGCATCTTTTTATTTAGCTTCGCCTACTGATTGTGATATGATTAAAACATTTTTTCACACAGACAATGTTACTTCTCCGTCTCACCAAGATGTGACAGCAGGAAGGGCAAACTTGCTTGCACATGTCCTGCAGAGACAGACATCAAATACCGATCAGCCTACACTACTGTGACCAAAGCTTAGTGGGTACGTTTTTATTTTCATGAGACCTGTGACTGGTTAACTGTTAACATGTAGGAAAATAATCATAAGCAATTAAAAATCTAACAGTATAACAAGAAGATTACTGAAAAGGTGGTGGCAGCTTAAAGGGGCACAGACCATCTCCTATATAGGTAGGCTAGCTGAAGCAGGCAGGCCACATGTTGGCCAATGTCCCAGTCAACATCATGAGGTTGTCTTTGGCTGTTAGTGACTGGAAAAGACCAAAGTCAGAGCCGCTTCATGCAAAGTTTTAGCAGTGCCAAAGCCTATCCACCCTGCCCCTCAAGCCCCGCTGTGTGAAGTAATTCTTCATGCCAGTGAAACCAGACAGACTCTGTGTTCTGTCACTGCACGCATGGAGATATTTCTTTAACGGTGCACTTTTTTAACTTCAAAGATTAACAGGTGGATGTTCTTCCTTACAAGCAAATAATTTGCACGTACAATGTCAAAATCTGCTTTCTTTTTCCTGTAAGGAGGTTTGAATTGGATTAAAATCTGTGGGCTGTATCAGATAATTAGTAAGACGTGCAAATTTCTGTTTCCCTCTGTAGGTTGAAGGAGAAAGAACTTGACACTGGCTGGAAAATGTAAGGACGTTATATCCACGCCAGCTGAGTCAGGAACAGTCCACTCGAATCCTGGCTAAAACTAGGGATTAAGAACAAACTGTAAGCAATGTTTATTTTGTTCTGTCCCATGGACCCATATGTAGACAGACTCTGGAACAGTAACAATCAAATTTAGACAGAACGCATTCTAGCAAGACAGCTGTGTCTAGACAGATGTTCAACTGCAGGCCAAACTCAGGGGGCCTAAAGGACCAACGACCAAAACCGTCCTGGCGCGACACATTTGAATATTATATGAAGGTTTGAAAATGATGGTGACACAGTGCCTCTAAAAATCTTTCTTGTATTTAATAACTATGTCTACAGAGCAGCTCATATATGCAGCCACAGTAACATATCCATGTACAGTATCTATCACTTCTATAACAACCTTTAAAAGACCAGTGTGTAGGATTCAGTGGCATCTAGCAGTAATGTTTCTGCTGCTCTTAATAATACATGAGCTCCCCTAAAAACTGAACTGAAGTTTTGGGGACATCTTTATGCTGTTTTTGTCATTTTTATTTATTTTCATCAGCATGGCTTATGAGTAAAATTAGGCTACTATGTATGTATGTCATTAACTTGTTATATATCATTTGTTCTAAGCAAGTAGGTCTACACATACTGCCTATGAATATTATATTAATTTTCTGCTAATAGGCCCTCCTACATGTTAAACACTGGACCTTAAAAGGTTTTCTACTCTGACACAGAGGTTGTCCACCACATTAGTAGAGTACATAATGATGACAATATGGAGAGCACAGAAAGATCACTTTGAACCCTACTGACATTTACATTAAAACAAAACTAACCACTTATAAGATGGAAAACAAAACAATGCAGTAGCGGTTTAGCACCATGCAATGATCTCTCCCATCCTGCCATGCACTCCTCCAGCCTCAGCACCAGACTCAGTGGCTGCATACAGGAGAAGTCTAATTGATTAAGCTCTGAGGCTCTGAGGTCTTGTGTTTCATCCCTAAACCAGGAAGATTCTGGAGTGTGTTTGTTGTTTTTGTAGATTTTAAGCATTTTTGAAATTTAATTAATCATGTTACTACACCACATAATCAGATATCAGGCCACTGGTTGCCGTTTAGATGTTGTACTGATGTGAAAATTTGTAGCAGGACTTCATACTTTCATGCATACTTCAATGTTAGACCTATTTATACCTTCTTGTAATCTGGGAATTATAACATAAAATGTTTAAATTCTAAGGATGGCTCCTTTTTATATCACTGTCTCACATTATAAACAACAGCATGGTCACAAACCCTGAGACACCATCCCATGTATTTATAGTGGGATGATGCTAACTGTTTTGTTTTAAATGAAGGACTTTAATGGACCACAGAAGGCAGACAGATGCTGTTAGGAAGATTCATCAGACAGCTCAATTTGTGACCTTACATTAGATTTCCTCTGATGGAGAAGTGGCACCCTCTGATGGTCAAAAAGCAAAGTATTTTTCAAAGTCTTGTTGCAAACTCTGGCACACTGAGCACTGAAAGTACAGCTGTCAGTGCTGAGATCATATAAAGGCTACTGTATGTAATGCTACACTTGATAGTATCCAAATTTATGGTTTAACATTTAATAAGTTTTTTAAGACAAGCCCTTATAGGCAAATAGACATCCAAATAGCATTGTGAAAGATAACTATGGAGGAAAAACCTTCTTACTGAGATGTTTTACTCTAGTTCTGTATCTACTTATCAACAATTAATTTCCCTTGAGTCGAAAAACAAACTTGCCAGGAGAAAGATATGTGTATTATCTTACTGGACACTTTTGGGACCTCCTGCAGACACACTGTAGACAGATACGTATGAACTTGCTAACCTATGAACATTTAGTAAATGCTGCAATCAATAACCCATAAAACAACAACACATGTAGAGGGATGATAAGCCTCTTGTCTGGCTTGGACTAGATGATTTGAATGTACTGCAGAAAGGCAGAAGGCATAACTGAGGTTGTTTCTCTAACTTAGACTGCTGGAGGGCGCCCTCTTATGGTCAAAATGAAAAACTATTAAAGTCTTTGGTTTGACCCCGGCCCTCTGTGCTGGGAACATGATGTGAGCTTCTTGACATGTTCAGTTCTGGTAAATGTAAAAATTAGCTGACTGAGTAATATGCTTCTTTAGACTGCTGTCAAGTTATGATAAACAACGTTAATCTCTATGACCTGATACTAGAATCTGTAGTTTCTGTTGCTCATCTTGTTTTCAAAAGCAAACCGCACCAGCCAGAAAGTAGATCCACAGCAAAGAACCTTACATTTACTAATATCACTGAAAGGCATTGATAGTGTCAGATGCAAAAGGGAAAATTAAGAGGAGAAGTGCAAATACAAAAATCAACACAGGATGTGACTATAGTCAAGGTAACAACCACAGGGTCGCTCAGCATGCAAACTGCCCAAAGGTGACAGATTTAGTTTGTTGCCTTCAAGATGCACGCTCTGCACAAGTTCTTGCTTATTCATGTTCTGACATGTTTCGGAGGAAATGGTAAGATTGCAAAATCTCATTATTTTTCTCCAGTTTACAAATGAGGCATTTATTCATTTAAAATGTCACTTTGTCTTTTTAGCGCTTAGGAGTGAAATCATAAATGGTAAAAAGACCAAGCCGAAGTCGATGCAGTATATGGCCTCGGTGCAGAACAAGCATCGCTACCATATATGTGGAGGATTCCTCATCAGTGAAGACTTTGTACTCACTGCTGCACACTGTGAAGATACGTGAGTTGCTTTTCCTCTTCCAGCAATCTTTGATTCACCTATAACTGAAATAATTCTGCCAATTTCTCAATCATTGTTCATGCAGGAATCCTACAAGTGTTGTTCTTGGAACCCACAATCTGAGGAAGGTTGATGATAAAACAATGAGATACGGTGTGAAGATGTGCAAACACCCATCTTATGTGAAACCTGTGATGGGGAATGACATCATGCTTCTCAAAGTAGGTAGATTCAACCTCATAATCCAAGGTGACTAAATTATGTGCATTTGGTTTAAGTTATATTACATTCCATAATTATCATAGTCAGTAAAATAAAACACGTCTGGATTTTATAAGTTATCAGCTAAATGTAGCTTACAAGTTAATATTTTGTGAGGATAACGGATCATAAATTGCTTTACTACCACTCAATACTCATATATATCCTACTAGTGTGCGCTTTTGTGACCTGAGAGGTACGCAACACTAAATACTGAACATACTGGATCCAGGCAACACTCAAACCTCACAGCAATATCAGCAGTTCCATCTTCCAACACTCATTTGTTAACTTGAAGTCTGTCAGAGAAAATTAAGCCTGGACAGTTTTTAACTTTTACTTTCTCATTTTATGTCTCCAGCTGTCTAGGAAAGCTCCCCTGGGTAAAAAATCACTAATTAAGACAATTCAACTTCCAAGTCGTCAAATTCCCCTTAAAGAAAACAAAAAGTGTGTTGTAGCTGGATGGGGTTTCACAAGAACTGGTGGTGGAAATGTTAATGACCTGCAAGAGGTGAATGTTCCTATCATTAACCTGGAAAAGTGTCAGAAGGCATGGATTATTGCCCTTCCTGCCAATGTTATCTGTGCAGGGGGATATGGCACAAAGAAAGGATTCTGTCAGGTACATTTTCAGTCCATTCATAAAAATGCCAACTGGTTTGTCATTTTTAAAATATCATAAAATATCTTAAATAACAAATAAACCAATGAGGCTTCTCCTCTTTTCACAGGGCGATTCTGGTGGCCCTCTGGTGTGTGGCAAGGTGGCAGTTGGTGTTGTTTCCTTTAACAACAAGAATAACTGTGACTACCCAGAATTACCCAACATCTATACAGAAATATCAACATTTCTTCCCTGGATAAATGACACCCTCAATAAAAAGACCTGTTAAATGTAACAACGATACACTTTTCTTTAATTTGTGACCAAAATTTGATTGTATTGTTTTGTGGATGTGTTGCTTTGTCTAAGTCACTTGCTTTGTTAAGATGTGTTTCCTTCTGTGACACCTTTCATCACAAGACAAAATATTCACAAAAACTCCCAGGTTAAGTTTAAAGTTGTACTTTAATTTCTGACCATGTTGTTGTCCTCCTATCACTGCTGGAAGAGCAGTGATTCTGACCTCTGCCTACACTATAAGCTGTGGGTTTATAGCTAATACAAAGCTGGGTACTGGTGGCAGCACAAATCTGTTCTTTGTGTTTATGGTATGTTTGCATAAAACCTGTATATATTAAAAATATATATTTTGATGGCTAAAAACATGTTCAGCTATATGACTAACTATGCTGTGAACGTGGGAACATCAATGCTCAAATCTGCAGCTTGAAACTGTGGTTTATGCGGTTCATCAAAATTGTCCAAATTCAAAGAAACAGTTTGGGGTTGTGGGTCGTTTTACATCGATCCACACCAAAGAACATTGGTGTTGTGTCTGTGTTTTTCGCCTAATGCGTGTATCATACTAAAGCTCATTTGATGTGGTGTAGAAGTCTGCACAAAAAGGTCCAGAAGTGACATAGCTGCAAAATGAAACTAAATGGAGAATTAGATGAATATGTGAATAGGTCTGTTTTAAATTCATGAAGATGACTGTATCACTATTGTCTATAAAATAAACTGTGTGAGTGTGATATAAACTGAGTTTGACTTTTGTTTGAAGACTATGACACTTGGTCTAAGACATGTAACCCTCTAAATAAAGACTGTTAGTGTATAGTTACTGTTTTGCACACATCAACTTTAGCTTACAGAAACAGAAGGCTGTATGCATCACCAGTAAAATCTTGACTACAAGACCAATAATACAATAACTGCAATATGTCATCTAAATGATGCAACCACAGTACATAGCCAAGCCATTTTTCATCCGTTTCCTCTTCTCTTCTTTCAAAACTTCTTCATAATGTTCTTGTTATGTAGTGATGCATCCTCCAGCATATATTCCTTTTTCATTTAATAAACATACTTGTTTGAGCCAGCCTACAGTATCCACAGTCAGTAAACACACGTCACTCACAAACAGATGTTCCAATGCGGTTAAGTGACACAGACAAAGGAGACTTGATGCTCCTCAAGACTTCTAGCTGCCAGTCAATGATCACATGACTTTAGAGAATTAGTTTCATAATTGTGAAAATGCAGACGCTTAAACCTGAAGCTGGAAACTGTGGTTTCTGTTACTCATTTAGTTTGTAGTGCAACATTGCAGTGACAAAAGCCAACAACGCCCCAAATGTCACAATTAAAAAGCAGATCCATATCAGATTTTTGTTTTTTAACTTAAATTAATTAATTTAACTAAAGTTCACTTCAGCTTAAGTTGTTAAATGGTATCCAAACAGTCGGAGAAGAAATAACAAATACATAGGTTGATTAAAGTCCCATAGATACAAAAGGAAAAATGAAAACATTGAGTGAAATTAAGAATAAACTTAATATTACAGGCTGTGTTAAACTCATCACATACTGATAATATACATACGTGCTTCAGGCTGCAGAAGCAGCTGAACCACAGGCTTTATATTTACTGTAACAATGGCCACACTGCATGATGCCTCATTTGACCCATGACCACATGCACTCAGCGCTTTAAGTTACACCGACACACAAAGGATGCTGCTAAAGAAGTTAAAGTGAAGCTAATGAAAACCACAGGGTTGCTTACGGAGCAAACTTGCTGTATAAAAGGGTCGATGTGACACCCCAAAGAGGCTCAACAGGTTGAGTCTGGCAGCATGATGCATGCTCTGCATATGTTTCTGCTCTTCCATCTTCTGACATGTCTGGGACCTAACGGTAAGATTACCAAATCTGGTCATGAGTTTCAGGCATGGGCCCTGCAAGTAGTGTAGCTGGGGGGGCTGCAGCACCCCTTAAACACCATTAGTTCAAAAAAATGTTTAAAGTTATAATTACTTTCACATTTATGGCATTTATGGCAAGAATGTGGTTTCACCTTATTTTTTCTGCGTTTTATTTTGTAAAAAGTTGTACAATTTGTGTAAAATATTGTTAATAGTAGCATATAAATGTTCCTGGCCTCTAATGCAAAAGTCATAAATGTCATGCATTTAGCATTTAGTGTGATGCCTATATAGACTGACTCTCTCCCTGCACCCCCAACTGACCTCCAGCTTCCCTGGTCTCAGGTCTACAAATGCTATATTAATTCATCCTTTTTTCCCCTCTTATACAGCACTTGGGAGTGAAATCATAAATGGTAAGAATGCCCCAGAGGCATTAATGCTGTATATGGCCTCGGTGCAGAACAACATGGGTGATCATATATGTGGAGGATTCCTCATCAGGGAAGACTTTGTACTCACTGCTGCGCACTGCATCCGCTCGTGAGTTACCTTTCATCTTTCAGCAATCTTTGATTCATGTGGTTAGAGATCAAATCAAACTCAGACTGCCAGTTTTAACACTTTCATTTACCTCTCGATTATCATTTGTTCAGGAATCCTACAAGTGTTGTTCTTGGTACCCACAATCTCAAGAAGGTTGATAATAGAACAATGAGATACAATGTGAAGACATGCAAGCATCCATCTTTTAAAAATGAACGACAGGGTAATGACATCATGCTCCTCAAAGTAAGTAGATACTTTATCAGCCTCTAATCATTTAACTTGGTCTGAGGGAAGATAAGAAGTATGCTATAAATCTTTTCTGGATTTTAATTTTCTTTTTGTGTTTTTATGTGCCTCCAGTTGTCCAAGAACGCTCGACTGGACAAGAGAGTAAAACCAATTCGACTTCCAAAGACTGTGATTAAAATAAAAGATAATGCAAAGTGCCGTGTGGTTGGATGGGGATTCATAAGAACTGGAGGTGAACTTAGTAATAAGCTACAAGTGGTGGATGTGCCTTTTGTTAACTTGACGGTCTGTAAGACAAGATGGAGGCCTCTTAATGAACTTCCTGACGATGTCATCTGTGCCGGTGGGTATGGCACAAAGAATGGATTCTGTCAGGTACGTTTTCTGTCTGTTCATAGGAAATGTCATTTAGTTTCTAGAAATAAAATGAATAACAAATGAAGCTTCTTCCTCCTTACAGGGTGATTCTGGTGGTCCTCTGGTGTGCGGCGGGGAGGCTGTTGGTGTTGTGTCTTTCAACATGAACAGAAACTGCGACTACCCAAATGTACCCAACGTCTATACGAACATATCAAAATACCTTAAATGGATCAAAGATATTCTCAAGAAAAAGAATTGTTAAATGTTACAATTAAGCATATTGTAATGTGCTGGCTCCTCGGTTTGGGAATAGCTTTCCACTCAGCATCAGGCCGCTGACGATGTCGCTGCCTTTCAGTCATAAAACTCCCTTTTACAGAATGCCCATTCCTAACAAACAAAATACTTACTTGTCTTTATTACATGTGTTCTATAAATAAACTATTATTATTGCTGTGGGGGTATTTGTTGTATTTAAGATGCTCTGTCAGTGTTTGTTCTTTATCTGAAATGCAAAATAAAGTTTCAAATTTTAAATACTATTTCCTGTGGTTATATTGTTCATCAGAAGACAGTAATGATGTTAAAAAAACTTAAATTCTCTCTGTTTAGGGTAAGTTTGATGTAGAATACACAATTCCCTTGCAGAGCCTCCCCAAAATCCATCTCACTGGTTTATTTTTCATAGCTGATGTACAGTTTATTCAAGTCAAACTTGCAATACCTTAAAGCAAAAATAATACAAATATAAAATAAACCTGTTTCATTCACAGCACAAGTTCTTATTTGAACAACCATGCAACATGTATCACTATTGATTTGCCCTACCTGTGTGGGTTTTTTGTTGTATATTTGTTGATGCGCAAATGGTTATGTTTGCATATACCAGCATCCCCAGTGAATATGATTTTAATGTCAATTTAACATAATTTTGATTCTGGTTAAATAAAACATTAACAGACTGAGTAATAATAACTGTTATTTAACTAGAGCACACCCTTCATAACTTCATAACTCACCGTGAGAACGTTGATGCTCAAACCTGAGTCTGGAAACTGTGGTTCCTGTGGTTCATCTAGTTTGTCACAGAATTCAAACACACGTTTCAGTGGGCTTTGTCAAGTAGATCCACACCAAAGAGTATTGGCATTGCATTTGTGTTATAAAACTCATCAAACTAAGGTTCACTTGATGTGGCTGAGTATTCTCAAACAATGAGAAGAAGTGGCCCAAGAGATGGAATGACCACTCTCAGCCTCTGTACTTTTAAACTTTCACTTTCTGGCTTTGTGTGTCACCAGCTGTCTCAGCAAGAAAGTGCAACAAATCAACTTACAAAAAGTTACAAACAAGTGGGGCGCATGGTGGCTCAGCTTGTACATTGCGCACCCATCTAGGCTGAGTCCTTACCGCAGTGGCCCGGGTTTGAGTCCAACCTGTGGGTAAAAAAGAAAGCGTCCCGGGTTTGAGTCCAACCTGTGGGTAAAAAAGAAAGCGTCCTAAATACAAAATGTGAAATTAAAATAAAATCTCACTCTATCCCATACTTATAAAAGTTTTTATTTTTTACCTTATTATTTTATTTTAGTTTTTTTAGTTTAGTTTTTGTTTATTGTTTAAAGCTTTATAAGCCTTTATAAGTCCTGATTTTCAGAGCAATGATCTCAATGGTCTGCTTAAACTGGACTGCATCATGTTCTCCTGCATCATGGGGAGGTGTTTTCTAGTTTGACTTTTGTTGTTACTTCTTTGACAATTATGCTTTTTATATTGTCGTTTCATTGATTTTTATAGTTAATTTTAGGTAGTGGCAGATCAGCCACTATATATGTTTCTCCCATGTCTCAGTTTTTAAAGTCTGTTCAGTTCATGTTAAGTTATTATAGCCTGGGTTAAGTTTAGTTGACCTCTTTTATGGGCCCAGAACCTTGTTGGATATTTTGTTAATTGGTTGTTTTATTTTTGGTAAAAGAAATAAAAATAAATCCACCCCTTGACTCCATTAAAAAAATTATAGTTTTAAGAAATCTTTTTTTTTTCCCCAGTAACTATACCCAACAAGTAATGTTCTGGGCTTTTGTTTCTTTTGACTTTGCATTGTAAAGCTTTAGTGTGTGGTTTCCAGTGGTAGACCACACATTGGTTCTTCAGTGTATCTAAGAGAAGAGCTGGTGAAATGGTGAATGAACTTAAAGTAAGAACTTCATTAATCCTATTACAGGCTGTTGAGGCACGAACATGTTGTATTGTGTTATAAGCAAAAAGATTGTGCAAAGCTAACAGCTGCTTTGCAGAAAGGATGTGGCTGAAAGTCAAGATAAAATATTTGAAAATCAGGGTCAGCTACTGAGAAAACCCCAAGATGACATGTAGAGTGTCCTGGCGTGATGCATGCTCTGCACACATTTCAGCTTTTTCATGTTCTGAATGTGTCACTGCTGTTGTATTTCAAAAGCCAAATAGCTGCAGTGACTTCTACATTAAAGAACTGTAGTGTTAAGTAATATTCATAAATGATGAAAAAAAAGGCCCAGGATAAATTAAATCAAGAAGCTGACAGTGTCCTAAATACAAAAAGGTAAAATTATATGAACTGGAACAAGAGGAGCAGTGGATTGCGGATTAATGTGATAGACTGACTTCTACAGTGAACTCCTCACATACTGATCACATAATGTGCTTCAGGCTGCTGATGCAACAGACAACTCAAGTAAACAATATAATGCAATGATAACACAAGTTGCAAATCTGCATTGCACAAAGGATGTGGTTAGACGTGAGGGAAAAATAGATTATAATCACTTGTGCCAACTGCTGTATAAAAGGGTCTACTAGACACCCAAAAGTAGACAAGTCAGTTGTCTTGCTGGCATCATGTACGCTCTGCACAAACTTCTGCTCTTTCATGTCCTGATATGTCTCGGACAAAATGGTAAGATCACAGAATCTGATTGTTATTCTGCAACCATTTAATGGGACATCCACCTAATTGTTATTATCTTTGCAGGAAATGGGGGTAAAATCATTAATGGAACTAAAGCCCCGGAGGACTCGATGCAGTATATGGTCTCGTTGCAGAACAATGGAGGTCATGATTGTGGAGGATTCCTCATCAGAGAAGACTTTGTGCTCACTGCTGCGCACTGCCACATTGAGTGAGTTATAATCTTTGATTCATGTGACTATAAATATTTAAAGACTTTTAAAGTATACATATATTTCTTATATATTTATTATCTCATTTATTATCTCAAAATCTACATATAACCTCTCAATGTTCACTCATTCAGCGCACATACACATGTTGTACTTGGCACCCACAATCTCAAGAGGGGAGGAAAAATAAGATACATTGAAAAAAAATACAAACACCATTCTTATGAAAATGTAGGACGAGGTAACGACATCATGCTCCTCAAAGTAAGTACATATATTCAGGTGACATCACATATTTTTGTGGTCAGATTGTTTGTTTTTATTATCAGCTCCAGATTCCAGCAGTTGTTTATTAAGTTGTCTGAAGAATAAAAAAGGAGAATGAAATTAGACAGTGCTGGTTTTTCATTTTAATCTCTGATTTTGTCTCCAGCTGTCTGAGAAAGTTCAACTGGACAACAGCGTACAAACAATTCCAATTCCCTCATCTGAAATCAACATAAGAGAAAATGAATCCTGCCGTGTAGCTGGATGGGGTGCCACTATAACTGGTGGTTCTGTTGTTGATGACCTGAGACTGGTGGATGTGTCTATCATTAGCCAGAATGTCTGTAACGAGACATGGGGTGGTCTTCCTCGCAATATTATCTGTGCAGGTGGATATGGCACAACAAAAGGATTCTGTCAGGTATGTTTCTGTCTGTTCAAAGAAACTGTCGACTGCTTTCTAGTTCGGACACACTACACATTTCTTATCCTATATAATCAAATAACGAATAAACAAATAAAAGTATTTCCTCCTCACAGGGTGATTCTGGTGGTCCTTTGGTGTGCAACGGGGTGGCTGTTGGCATTGTGTCTTTTAATTACAAAAAGAACTGTACCTACCCACTCAAACCCAACGTCTATACAGATGTATCAAAATATCTTTTCTGGATCGACAATATCCTAAATGAGTAAAAATCCTGCACAAAGTGTTGCTTCAGTATACAATCATTGTAATGTGAAGGTAATGTGCTATCTCAGATTGCTCTGTCAGTGTGACCAAAATTCTAAATAAAAATGTATTTAAAATACCTTGTTTCAATTTCTTCTATAACAATCTAATCAGAAGAAGTATTATGGTATTGTATTTAAGTTAATAAAAACAACAACAATAAAAATAATAGTAGTACAAATAATCTAGACCTATACTAAAAATCACTTAACCTTGGCAAAATTCAATCAAAAAAGTTGTGTGATTCCTTGTAGTCAATAAAGTGTTATGTGTATGTGATAGCCAATAACTTCCATTGATCAGATAGTAATCTGGTGAGATACTGAGAAGGGTTATCATCATTTTAGCAATAAGCTTTATTTTCTTAAGGTTTAAATTACATATTTGGTGCCAGTCAACCAGAGGCGAACCAGGGGCGGGGCCAGAGGCTTAGCCAGTCCCGTTCCGTATAACTGGTGGTCGATTCCTCCTGGTTGTAGCAACATTGACAATTTACAACACTGATTGCAGGATGGATGACACGACAGTTTCCCAGAGGTGTAGCCAAATCATCTTGTTCGCCCTCTAGTGGCTGGCTGCAGTGTAGGTCATAAGTGCCACTACTGTGCAGACTTTGGCTGAGATATGAGAGCAAAGGGGAGGAGAGGGTTAGGAGGGTATTTATGAGTATGCCAGAAGAGAGATGATTGAGGTGTGACCCTGCTCCTTAAAACTCAGTAAAAAGCCTTAAATATGGTAGAAATGGAATATAATATTTAGAGGTACGTGTAATCACCTGCAAATAAGAATTTTATTTTCATTACGTTTAAATGAGCCCTTTATGGATTTTCATGTGACAACCTCAAATATCATGTTTGGTGTACAAGACCCCATGTATGTTGACACATTATAAATGAAGGCAAAAAAATGAATACATTTGATAGACTTTGTTCAAACCTATTACATACTGATCACATAATCTATGTGGCTCCAGGCTGCTGAGACATCAGAACCATAATCAAAGATACCATAAACTAAGATATGACAAATTTCCATAGCAGGAAGGATGTAGCCAGAGGTGAAGTTAAAAAAAGATGAAGAAGGTTGTGTGAGTGTCCTGCCAACATAACAAATGTCTGCTTCATGTTCTGACACATCGGATAAAAACTAAACAGAGCTATTTCAACACTTTTACAGTTATAGTCATAACCTCATATCATTATTTAATTTACTATTGACCAATGTTCATACAAGTGATATTATAAAGATGCACATTTGTTTATTTAATTATTTATTTGATCCAGGAGGCCCTTTAGCCTCAGTGTGTGTACATCTCTGGCATACAGTGTCCCCAGTCCAACACTCATTTTCATGACTCTTCACTTGAAGACGTGTTTGTGTGAAGATCTGAGGATGGAAACTGTGGTTGCTGTGGTTGAGCTAGTTCGTCACAGAAACAGCTTGACGGGGCTGTGTCACAAACGGTAAGAAATAAAGGCCAGACAGAACAAAATACAGAAATTAAAGTCAAAGTTGACAACGACACCAGAATGCAAAGGACAGTTAACAGATAACACAGTAGAATACAAATCAAACAAAAAGGAACCAAAATACCAATCTTACCTAAACCTGCTAATTGAAGAAAGTTAATCTCCTAGGGATGTAGTAAGTTTGTGCAGCTGATTATATACAATACTATAACTACTTATATATACTATATACTTACTATATAAACTATAACTTTGAACACCCAAATGCATCCACCGTCCGTATGGATATATCAAAGCCTGTTACCTGGATAAAAGAGATTCTTAGATTCTTAAGCTAAGTGAAATCTAACAGTGTTTGGTTTCAGCATACTTTTATCGTGTAGTGGTGATTTCTTAAACCCAGTCTCATGGCAAAGTGTGTAATAGACCTGCCTATCCAGTACCAGCAGTAGTAAAAAGAGTGATAAAGTCTGCATTTAGAGGTGGTGGAGTGACAGACACACTTTCTCCCAGGAGACCACTGCTGGAATCCAGTGTGAAACAGAAAATAACTGTTGACTTCAATCTTTTCCTAAACCCAACGTGGAATGAGTACATGCTGAAAATGTGACACTGCCGACTCAACATAGTAACTGAAAGGTGTATATTCTGTCCATCTGAAAGTAGTAACAAGTACATGCATCAATGTTTAATAATTGTACATGTGAATTTAAAGATAATTTAAGGATACCCACACAGCTGAGAAACTTGGTCTGCAGTGCCTTGCATTACACCAAACCACATTCTTTCTTAAGATCTCTTTTTTAACACAAACCTGATGCAACCCACTGAAAAGAGGAAAGTGAAATAACTCTAATAACACTGTACATCTAGATTTAAATGTAAGCACTAACACACACACACACACACACACACACACACACACACATACACACACACACACACACACACACACACACACACACACACACACACACACACACACACACACACACACACACACACACACATATTGTACTCATTAATCACTTGTTTAAATCACTGTTTTTCAGACAATGTGGACTTTAACTATTCATAAGTTTGCGTAATCACCTGCAAATAAGAATTGTGTTTTCATTACATTAAAATGAGCCCTTCACGGATTTACCCAAATACATCATGTGACAACGTCAAATGTCATGTTTGGTGTACAAGACCATGTATGTTGACAAATTACAAATCAGTGAATGACACAACTGCATTTCTGATCCAACTAAAATTCACTTGTTTTAGTTAAATTCTGTAAAGAGGCCCAACTTGAACAAAATAGAGACTGCAAATATAATTTATACAAAATGTAAAATGAAACGAAGGTGAAAAAATAAATTAATCTGACAGACTTTGTTCAAACTTAATCTATGTGGCTCCAGGCTGCCGAGACATCAGCACCACAATCAAAGATACCATAAACTAAGATATCACAAATGTCTGTTACAGGAAGGATGTAGCCTGAGGTGAAGTTACAAAAAGATGGAGAAGGTTGTGTGAGTGTCCTGCCGACATTATGCAGCATATCTGCACAATTTTTTGCTTCATGTTCTGACACGTCTAGGATAAACACACAGAATGTTACAAAAATGTACAAAGTCATTGATAATAGGTAGTGTATTTCTTAAACAATCACCAAAAGTCAGTTAGACGCCTACATTTATAAATATCTATAAGTAATAATAAATGTGATGTACAATAATACATAAACTGTGCTGTTGCAAAGAGTCCATACAGCTCTGCAGCACTTTTCCATACGTTATTAATCCAGACTTCAAAAAGCAAGTGTCATGCTGGGGGAGGACAAACACCAGACAACCCAAACATTGCTCTTATTAATCACCCATAACTCATCTATAAAGTATTAATAGATGAATTATTTAATAAATGGCAATGGTGAATAACAACACATGTACCAAGCATGCTTGCACTGATACATAAACAGTATAAAGGAGAATCTCACTTGAAGTACTGAAGCTCTGTAGTTTCTTTTCCCCAAGTCAAAGACTTAACAGAGCGGGGTGCTCTGTTAGCAGCAGCCCTAGATGCTCTCTGTATTCAGTCTTGTACATATAAAATGGATAACAAAGTGAATGGTCAGTACACTTTTCCACTCACGTTAAATGCAGGCTCTGTTCTGGTCAGTTAAACATTAATATACTCAGTTATGATGCTCCCTTAGACCACTTGCTGTCTTTGCTCAGAAGCGATCCTGGATACTGGTTTCTGTGGTTTATATGGTTTGTCACAGAATTCAGAAGAAATGTTTGAGCTGGCTGTTTCACCAAAACCCCAAACAGCCAAATGGTGACAGCTGGAAATTATTATCTGGAATCTTTGCGTTAATATCTCGATTTTTTCATTAAACAGATACATGCCAATGTGTTATTAACTCACAAGATTCATTCAATTTAGGTTTTCTTATTGTGAACGGCACAAACAGTGAGGAGAAGCAGGTCCAAAATGGCCCAGAATTAACTAAATGTGCAGAAAATAAATGATGAATTTGGGAAGATGGATTACTAGAGTGGACTGTTCAGCACAACACAACACAGAACCGTAGAGTTGCATCTGTGTTATTGTAGCAACGCAATATTCATAAACGATGAGAAAAGGCCCAGGATGAACTAAATCAAGAGGATGACAGTGTCCTAAATACAAAATGACATGAAATAGAAGAAGAGGAGCAATGGATTAATGTGACAGACTGACTGCTACAGTGAACTCCTCACATACTGATCACAATGTGCTTCAGGCTGTTGATGCCACAGACAACTCAAGTAAACAATTTAATGCAATGATGTACAAGCTATAAATTTGCATCGCACAAAGGATGTGGTTAGACGTGAAAAAAAAATTGATCATAATCACTTGTGCCAACTGCTGTATAATAAGGGTCTACTAGACACCCAAAAGAAGACAAGTCAGTTGTCTTGCTGGCATCATGTACGCTCTGCACAAACTTCTGCTCTTTCATGTCCTGATATGTCTCGGACAAAATGGTAAGATCACAGAATCTGATTGTTATTCTACAACCATTTAATGGGACATCAAAATTATTGTTATTATCTTTGCAGGAAATGGGGGTAAAATCATTGATGGAACTACAGCCCCGGAGAACTCGATGCAGTATATGGCCTCGTTGCAGAACAATGGAGGTCATTTCTGTGGAGGATTCCTCATCAGTTAGGATTTTGTGCTCACTGCATCGCACTGTGAACGTTTCTTAAAGTGAGTTACAATCTTTGATCATGTGACTATAAATATTTAAAGACTTCCAGATACTACTATTTTAAAAACACTTTTTTTGATAATAAATATATACATATATCATTTCATTGCTTACTATTGTTCATTGTTTACTATTGTTATTAGCACAATTTTTAGAAAATGTACTTATAACCGCACACATACACGTGTCGTTCTTGGCACCCACAATCTCAAGAGGGGAGGAAAAATAAGATACATTGAAAAAAAATACAAACACCATTCTTATGAAAATGTAGGACGAGGTAACGACATCATGCTCCTCAAAGTAAGTACATATATTCAGGTGACATCACATATTTTTGTGGTCAGATTGTTTGTTTTTATTATCAGCTCCAGATTCCAGCAGTTGTTTATTAAGTTGTCTGAAGAATAAAAAAGGAGAATGAAATTAGACAGTGCTGGTTTTTCATTTTTAATCTCTGATTTTGTCTCCAGCTGTCTGAGAAAGTTCAACTGGACAACAGCGTACAAACAATTCCAATTCCCTCATCTGAAATCAACATAAGAGAAAATGAATCCTGCCGTGTAGCTGGATGGGGTGCCACTAAAACTGGTGGTTCTGTTGTTGATGACCTGAGACTGGTGGATGTGTCTATCATTAGCCAGAACGTCTGTAACGAACAATGGGATGGTCTTCCTCGCAATGTTATCTGTGCAGGTGGATATGGCACAACAAAAGGATTCTGTCAGGTATGTTTCTGTCTGTTCAAAGAAACTGTCGACTGCTTTCTAGTTCGGACACACTACACATTTCTTATCCTATATAATCAAATAACGAATAAACAAATTAAAGTATTTCCTCCTCACAGGGTGATTCTGGTGGTCCTTTGGTGTGCAACGGGGTGGCTGTCGGCATTGTGTCTTTTAATTACAAAAAGAACTGTACCTACCCACACAAACCCAACGTCTAAACAGATGTATCAAAATATCTTTTCTGGATCGACAATATCCTAAATGAGTAAAAATCCTGCACAAAGTGTTGCTTCAGTATACAATCATTGTAATGTGAAGGTAATGTGCTATCTCAGATTGCTCTGTCAGTGTGACCAAAATTCAAAATAAAAATGTATTTAAAATACCTTGTTTCAATTTCTTCTATAACAATCTAATCAGAAGAAGTATTATGGTATTGTATTTAAGTTAATAAAAACAACAACAATAAAAATAATAGTAGTACAAATAATCTAGACCTATACTAAAAATCACTTAACCTTGGCAAAATTCAATCAAAAAAGTTGTGTGATTCCTTGTAGTCAATAAAGTGTTATGTGTATGTGATAGCCAATAACTTCCATTGATCAGATAGTAATCTGGTGAGATACTGAGCAGGGTTATCATCATTTTAGCAATAAGCTTTATTTTCTTAAGGTTTAAATTACATATTTGGTGCCAGTCAACCAGAGGCGAACCAGGGGCGGGGCCAGAGGCTTAGCCAGTCCCGTTCCGTATAACTGGTGGTCGATTCCTCCTGGTTGTAGCAACATTGACAATTGACAACACTGATTGCAGGATGGATGACATGACAGTTTCCCAGAAGTGTAGCCAAAACATCTTGATCGCCCTCTAGTGGCTGGCTGCAGTGTAGGTCATAAGTGCCACTACTGTGCAGACTTTGGCTGAGATATGAGAGCAAAGGGGAGGAGAGGGTTAGGAGGGTATTTATGAGTATGCCAGAAGGTAGATGATTGAGGTGTGACCCTGCTCCTTAAAACTCAGTAAAAAGCCTTAAATATGGTAGAAATGGAATATAATATTTAGAGGTACGTGTAATCACCTGCAAATAAGAATTTTATTTTCATTACATTTAAATGAGCCCTTTATGGATTTTCATGTGACAACCTCAGATATCATGTTTGGTGTACAAGACCCCATGTATGTTGACACATTATAAATGAAGGCAAAAAAATAAATACATTTGATAGACTTTGTTCAAACCTATTACATACTGATCACATAATCTATGTGGCTCCAGGCTGCTGAGACATCAGAACCATAATCAAAGATACCATAAACTAAGATATGACAAATTTCCATAGCAGGAAGGATGTAGCCAGAGGTGAAGTTAAAAAAAGATGAAGAAGGTTGTGTGAGTGTCCTGCCAACATAACAAATGTCTGCTTCATGTTCTGACACATCGGATAAAAACTAAACAGAGCTATTTCAACACTTTTACAGTTATAGTCATAACCTCATATCATTATTTAATTTACTGTTGACCAATTTTCGTACAAGTGATATTATAAAGATGCACATTTGTTTATTTAATTATTTATTTGATCCAGGAGGCACTTTAGCCTCAGTGTGTGTACATCTCTGGCATACAGTGTCCCCAGTCCAACACTCATTTTCATGACTCTTCACTTGAAGACGTGTTTGTGTGAAGATCTGAGGATGGAAACTGTGGTTGCTGTGGTTGAGCTAGTTCGTCACAGAAACAGCTTGACGGGGCTGTGTCACAAACGGTAAGAGATAAAGGCCAGACAGAACAAAATACAGAAATTAAAGTCAAAGTTGACAACGACACCAGAATGCAAAGGACAGTTAACAGATAACACAGTAGAATACAAATCAAACAAAAAGGAACCAAAATACCAATCTTACCTAAACCTGCTAACTGAAGAGAGTTAATCTCCTAGGGATGCAGTAGGTTTGTGCAGCTGATTATATACAATACTATAACTACTTATATATACTATATACTTACTATATAAACTATAACTTTGAACACCCAAATGCATCCACCGTCCGTATGGATATATCAAAGCCTGTTACCTGGATAAAAGAGATTCTTAAGATAAGTGAAATCTAACAGTGTTTGGTGTCAGCATACTTTTATTGTGTAGTGGTGATTTCTTAAACCCAGTCTCATGGCAAAGTGTGTAATAGACCTGCCAATCCAGTACCAGCAGTAGTAAAAAGAGTGATAAAGTCTGCATTTAGAAGTGGTGGAGTGACAGACACACTTTCTCCCAGGAGACCACTGCTGGAATCCAGTGTGAAACAGAAAATAACTGTTGACTTCAATCTTTTCCTAAACCCAACGTGGAATGAGTACATGCTGAAAATGTGACATTGCCGACTCAACTGAAAGGTGTATATTTTGTCCATCTGAAAGTAGTAATAAGTACATTTATCAACGTTTAATAATTGTACATGTGAATTTAAAGATAATTTAAGGATTCCCACACAGCTGAGAAACTTGGTCTGCAGTGCCTTGCATTACACCAAACCACATTCTTTCTTAAGATCTCTTTTTTAACACAAACCTGATGCAACCTACTAAAAAGAGGAAAGTGAAATAACTCTAATAACACTGTGCATCTAGATTTAAATGTAAGCACTAACACACACACACACACACACACACACACACACACACACAGACACACACACACGCGTACACACACACACACACACACACACACACACACACACACACACACACACATTGCATTCATCTATCACTTGTTTAAATCACTGTTTTTCAGACAATGTGGACTTTAACTATTCATAAGTTTGCGTAATCACCTGCAAATAAGAATTGTGTTTTCATTACATTAAAATGAGCCCTTCATTGATTTACGCAAATACATCATGTGACAATGTCAAATATCATGTTTGGTGTACAAGACCATGTCAGTGAAAGACACAACTGCATTTCTGATCCAACTAAAGTTCACTTGTTTTAGTTAAATTCTGTAAAGAGGCCCAGCTTGAACAAAACATAGACAAATAAATATAAATATAATTTATACAAAAAGTTAAATGAAACAAAAGTGAAAAAAAAATATTAATTTGACAGACTTGTTCAAACTTAATCTATGTGGCTCCAGGCTGCAGAGACATCAGCACCACAATCAAAGATACCATAAACTAAGATATCACAAATGTCTGTTACAGGAAGGATGTAGCCTGAGGTGAAGTTACAAAAAGATGGAGAAGGTTGTGTGAGTGTCCTGCCGACATTATGCAGCATATCTGCACAATTTTCTGCTTCATGTTCTGACACGTCTAGGATAAACACACAGAATGTTACAAAACTGTACAAAGTCATTGATAATTGGTAGTGTATTTCTTAAACAATCACCAAAAGTCAGTTAGACACCTACATTTATAAATATTTATAAGTAATTAATAAATGTGATGTACAATAATACATAAACTGTGCTGTTGCAAAGAGTCCATACAGCTCTGCAGCACTTTTCCATACGTTATTAATCCAGACTTCAAAAAGCAAGTGTCATGCTGGGGGAGGACAAACACCAGACAACCCAAACATTGCTCTTATTAATCACCCATAACTCATCTATAAAGTATTAATAGATGAATTATTAATAAATGGCATTGGTGAATAACAACACATGTACCAAGCATGCTTGCACTGATACATAAACAGTATAAAGGAGAATCTCACTTGAAGTACTGAAGCTCTGTAGTTTCTTTTCCCCAAGTCAAAGACTTAACAGAGCGGGGTGCTCTGTTAGCAGCAGCCCTAGACGCTCTCTGTATTCAGTCTTGTACATATAAAATGGATAACAAAGTGAATGGTCAGTACACTTTTCCACTCACGTTAAATGCAGGCTCTGTTCTGGTCAGTTAAACATTAATATACTCAGTAATGATGCTCCTTTAGACCACTTGCTGTCATTGCTCAGAAGCGATCCTGGATACTGGTTTCTGTGGTTTATATGGTTTGTCACAAAATTCAGAAGAAATGTTTGACCTGGCTGTTTCACCACAATCCCAAACAGCCAAATGGTGACAGCTGGAAATTATTATCTGGAATCGTTGCGTTAATATCTCATTTTTTTCTTTAAACAGATACATGCCAATGTGTTATTGACTCGAGAGATTCATTCAATTTAGGTTTTCTTATTGTGAACGGCACAAACAGTGAGGAGAAGCAGGTCCAAAATGGCCCAGAATTAACTAAATGTGCAGAAAATAAATGATGAATTTGGGAAGATGGATTAATAAAGTGGACTGTTCAGCACAACACAACACAGAACCGTAGAGTTGCATCTGTGTTATTGTAGCAACGCAATATTCATAAACGATGAGAAAAGGCCCAGGATGAACTAAATCAAGAGGATGACAGTGTCCTAAATACAAAATGACATGAAATAGAAGAAGAGGAGCAATGGATTAATGTGATAGACTGACTGCTACAGTGAACTCCTCACATACTGATCACAATGTGCATCATGCTGTTAATGCAACAGATAACTCAAGAAAACAACATAATGCAAAGATGTACAAGCTATACATTTGCATTGCACAAAGGATGTGGTTAAGCATGAGGGAAAAATAGATCATAATCACTCGTACCAACTGCTGTGTAAAAAGGGTCTACTAGACACCCAAAAGAAGACAAGTCAGTTGTCTTGCTGGCATCATGTACGCTCTGCACAAACTTCTGCTCTTTCATGTCCTGATATGTCTCGGACAAAATGGTAAGATCACAGAATATCATTGTTATTCTACAACCATTTAATGGGACATCCACCTAATTGTTATTATCTTTGCAGGTAAAATCATTGATGGGTGTAAAGCCCCGGAGAACTCGATGCAGTATATGGTCTCGTTGCAGAACAATGGAGGTCATGATTGTGGAGGATTCCTCATCAGAGAAGACTTTGTGCTCACTGCTGCGCACTGCCACATTGAGTGAGTTACAATCTTTGATTCATGTGACTATAAATATTTAAAGACTTTTAAAGTATACATATATTTCTTATATATTTATTATCTCATTGTTTACTGTTGATCATTGTTTAGAAAATCTACATATAACCTCTCAATGTTCACTCATTCAGCGCACATACACGTGTAGTTCTTGGCACCCACAATCTCAAGAGGGGAGGAAAAATAAGATCCATTGAAAAAAAACACAAACACCATTCTTATGAAAATGTAGCACTAGGTAACGACATCATGCTCCTCAAAGTAAGTACATATATTCAGGTGACATCATATATTTTTGTGGTCAGATTGTTTGTTTTTATTATCAGCTCCAGATTCCAGCAGTTGTTTATTAAGTTGTCTGAAGAATAAAAAAGGAGAATGAAATTAGACAGTGCTGGTTTTTCATTTTTAATCTCTGATTTTGTCTCCAGCTGTCTGAGAAAGTTCAACTGGACAACAGCGTACAAACAATTCCAATTCCCTCATCTGAAATCAACATAAGAGAAAATGAATCCTGCCGTGTAGCTGGATGGGGTGCCACTATAACTGGTGGTTCTGTTGTTGATGACCTGAGACTGGTGGATGTGTCTATCATTAGCCAGAATGTCTGTAACGAGACATGGGGTGGTCTTCCTCACAATATTATCTGTGCAGGTGGATATGGCACAACAAAAGGATTCTGTCAGGTATGTTTCTGTCTGTTCAAAGAAACTGTCGACTGCTTTCTAGTTCGGACACACTACACATTTCTTATCCTATATAATCAAATAACGAATAAACAAATAAAAGTATTTCCTCCTAACAGGGTGATACTGGTGGTCCTTTGGTGTGCAACGGGGTGGCTGTCGGCATTGTGTCTTTTAATTACAAAAAGAACTGTACCTACCCACTCAAACCCAACGTCTATACAGATGTATCAAAATATCTTTTCTGGATCGACAATATCCTAAATGAGTAAAAATCCTGCACAAAGTGTTGCTTCAGTATACAATCATTGTAATGTGAAGGTAATGTGCTATCTCAGATTGCTCTGTCAGTGTGACCAAAATTCTAAATAAAAATGTATTTAAAATACCTTGTTTCAATTCTTCTATAACAATCTAATCAGAAGAAGTATTATGGTATTGTATTTAAGTTGATAAAAACAACAACAATAAAAACAATAGTAGTACAAATAATCTAGACCTATACTAAAAATCACTTAACCTTGGCAAAATTCAATCAAAAAAGTTGTGTAATTCCTTGTAGTCAATAAAGTGTTATGTGTATGCGATAGCCAATAACTTCCATTGATCAGATAGTAATCTGGTGAGATACTGAGCAGGGTTATAATCATTTTAGCAATAAGCTTTATTTTCTTAAGGTTTAAATTACATATTTGGTGCCAGTCAACCAGAGGCGAACCAGGGGCGGGGCCAGAGGCTTAGCCAGTCCCGTTCCTTATAACTGGTGGTCGATTCCTCCTGGTTGTTGCAACATTGACAATTGTCAACACTGATTGCAGGATGGATGACATGACAGTTTCCCAGAGGTGTAGCCAAAACATCTTGATCGCCCTCTAGTGGCTGGCTGCAGTGTAGGTCATAAGTGCCACTACTGTGCAGACTTTGGCTGAGATATGAGAGCAAAGGGGAGGAGAGGGTTAGGAGGGTATTTATGAGTATGCCAGAAGGTAGATGATTGAGGTGTGACCCTGCTCCTTAAAACTCAGTAAAAAGCCTTAAATATGGTAGAAATGGAATATAATATTTAGAGGTACGTGTAATCACCTGCAAATAAGAATTTTATTTTCATTACGTTTAAATGAGCCCTTTATGGATTTTCATGTGACAACCTCAAATATCATGTTTGGTGTACAAGACCCCATGTATGTTGACACATTATAAATGCAGGCAAAAAAAAAATAAATACATTTGATAGACTTTGTTCAAACCTATTACATACTGATCACATAATCTATGTGGCTCCAGGCTGCTGAGACATCAGAACCACAATCAAAGATACCATAAACTAAGATATGACAAATTTCCATAGCAGGAAGGATGTAGCCAGAGGTGAAGTTAAAAAAAGATGAAGAAGGTTGTGTGAGTGTCCTGCCAACATAACAAATGTCTGCTTCATGTTCTGACACATCGGATAAAAACTAAACAGAGCTATTTCAACACTTTTACAGTTATAGTCATAACCTCATATCATTATTTAATTTACTATTGACCAATGTTCGTACAAGTGATATTATAAAGATGCACATTTGTTTATTTAATTATTTATTTGATCCAGGAGGCACTTTAGCCTCAGTGTGTGTACATCTCTGGCATACAGTGTCCCCAGTCCAACACTCATTTTCATGACTCTTCACTTGAAGACGTGTTTGTGTGAAGATCTGAGGATGGAAACTGTGGTTGCTGTGGTTGAGCTAGTTCGTCACAGAAACAGCTTGACGGGGCTGTGTCACAAACGGTAAGAAATAAAGGCCAGACAGAACAAAATACAGAAATTAAAGTCAAAGTTGACAACGACACCAGAATGCAAAGGACAGTTAACAGATAACACAGTAGAATACAAATCAAACAAAAAGGAACCAAAATACCAATCTTACCTAAACCTGCTAACTGAAGAGAGTTAATCTCCTAGGGATGCAGTAGGTTTGTGCAGCTGGTTATATGCAATACTATAACTACTTATATATACTATATACTTACTATATAAACTATAACTTTGAACACCCAAATGCATCCACCATTCTATATGAATATATCAAAGCCTGTTACCTGGATAAAAGAGATTCCTAAGATAAGTGAAATCTAACAGTGTTTGGTTTCAGCATACTTTTATTGTGTAGTGGTGATTTCTTAAACCCAGTCTCATGGCAAAGTGTGTAATAGACCTGCCAATCCAGTACCAGCAGTAGTAAAAAGAGTGATAAAGTCTGCATTTAGAGGTGGTGGAGTGACAGACACACTTTCTCCCAGGAGACCGCTGCTGGAATCCAGTGTGAAACAGAAAATAACTGTTGACTTCAATCTTTTCCTAAACCCAACGTGGAATGAGTACATGCTGAAAATGTGACACTGCCGACTCAACATAGTAACTGAAAGGTGTATATTCTGTCCATCTAAAAGTAGTAACAAGTACATGCATCAATGTTTAATAATTGTACATGTGAATTTAAAGATAATTTAAGGATACCCACACAGCTGAGAAACTTGGTCTGCAGTGCCTTGCATTACACCAAACCCCATTCTTTCTTAAGATCTCTTTTTTAACACAAACCTGATGCAACCTACTGAAAAGAGGAAAGTGAAATAACTCTAATAACACTGTGCATCTAGATTTAAATGTAAGCACTAACACACACACACACACACACACACACACACACACACACACACACACACACACACACACACACACACACACACACACACACACACACACACACACACACACACACACACACACACACACACACACACACACACACACACACACATTGCATTCATCTATCACTTGTTTAAATCACTGTTTTTCAGACAATGTGGACTTTAACTATTCATAAGTTTGCGTAATCACCTGCAAATAAGAATTGTGTTTTCATTACATTAAAATGAGCCCTTCATTGATTTACGCAAATACATCATGTGACAACGTCAAATATCATGTTTGGTGTACAAGACCATGTCAGTGAAAGACACAACTGCATTTCTGATCCAACTAAAGTTCACTTGTTTTAGTTAAATTCTGTAAAGAGGCCCAGCTTGAACAAAACATAGACAAATAAATATAAATATAATTTATACAAAATGTTGAATGAAACAAAAGTGAAAAAACATTATTAATTTGACAGACTTGTTCAAACTTAATCTATGTGGCTCCAGGCTGCAGAGACATCAGCACCACAATCAAAGATACTATAAACTAAGATATCACAAATGTCTGTTACAGGAAGGATGTAGCCTGAGGTGAAGTTACAAAAAGATGGAGAAGGTTGTGTGAGTGTCCTGCCGACATCACGCAGCATATCTGCACAATTTTCTGCTTCATGTTCTGACACGTCTAGGATAAACACACAGAATGTTACAAAAATGTACAAAGTCATTGATAATTGGTAGTGTATTTCTTAAACAATCACCAAAAGTCAGTTAGACACCTACATTTATAAATATTTATAAGTAATTAATAAATGTGATGTACAATAATGCATAAACTGTGCTGTTGCAAAGAGTCCATACAGCTCTGCAGCACTTTTCCATACGTTATTAATCCAGACTTCAAAAAGCAAGTGTCATGCTGGGGAAGGACAAACACCAGACAACCCAAACATTGCTCTTATTAATCACCCATAACTCATCTATAAAGTATTAATAGATTAATTATTAATAAATGGCATTGGTGAATAACAACACATGTACCAAGCATGCTTGCACTGATACATAAACAGTATAAAGGAGAATCTCACTTGAAGTACTGAAGCTCTGTAGTTTCTTTTCCCCAAGTCAAAGACTTAACAGAGCGGGGTGCTCTGTTAGCAGCAGCCCTAGACGCTCTCTGTATTCAGTCTTGTACATATAAAATGGATAACAAAATGAATGGTCAGTACACTTTTCTACTCACGTTAAATGCAGGCCCTGTTCTGGTCAGTTAAACATTAATATACTCAGTAATGATGCTCCCTTAGACCACTTGCTGTCTTTGCTCAGAAGCGATCCTGGATACTGGTTTCTGTGGTTTATATGGTTTGTCACAAAATTCAGAAGAAATGTTTGAGCTGGCTGTTTCACCACAATCCCAAACAGCCAAATGGTGACAGCTGGAAATCATTATCTGGAATCGTTGCGTTAATGTCTCATTTTTTTCATCAAACAGATACACGCCAATGTGTTATTAACTCGAGAGATTCATTCAATTTAGGTTTTCTTATTGTGAACGGCACAAACAGTGAGGAGAAGCAGGTCCAAAATGGCCCAGAATTAACTAAATGTGCAGAAAATAAATGATGAATTTGGGAAGATGGATTACTAGAGTGGACTGTTCAGCACAACACAACACAGAACCGTAGAGTTGCATCTGTGTTATTGTAGCAACGCAATATTCATAAACGATGAGAAAAGGCCCAGGATGAACTAAATCAAGAGGCTGACAGTGTCCTAAATACAAAATGACATGAAATAGAAGAAGAGGAGCAATGGATTAATGTGATAGACTGACTGCTACAGTGAACTCCTCACATACTGATCACAATGTGCATCATGCTGTTAATGCAACAGATAACTCAAGAAAACAACATAATGCAAAGATGTACAAGCTATACATTTGCATTGCACAAAGGATGTGGTTAGACGTGAAAAAAAATTGATCATAATCACTTGTGCCAACTGCTGTATAATAAGGGTCTACTAGACACCCAAAAGAAGACGAGTCAGTTGTCTTGCTGGCATCATGTACGCTCTGCACAAACTTCTGCTCTTTCATGTCCTGATATGTCTCGGACAAAATGGTAAGATCACAGAATCTGATTGTTATTCTACAACCATTTAATGGGACATCAAAATTATTGTTATTATCTTTGCAGGAAATGGGGGTAAAATCATTGATGGAACTATAGCCCCGGAGAACTCGATGCGGTATATGGCCTCGTTGCAGAACAATGGAGGTCATTTCTGTGGAGGATTCCTCATCAGTAAGGATTTTGTGCTCACTGCTGCGCACTGCGATTCCCCGTGAGTTGTTCACCTCATGTTATTAGAAATCAGTAAAATAATTATTCAAATCATCCAAACTATTTTCAAAAGAAATGTGTCATTTGTTGCTTTGTTTTGTTGCTGGTAAAACAACTTGGAAAAATCTACCCATAACATCTCGATTATAACTTTTTTTAGGACTCTATCTCGTGTTGTTCTTGGCACCCACAATCTCAAGCAGGCTGATAAAACAGAGCGATACGTTGCAAAGAAGTGCAAACACCCATCTTATCAAAATGTTGGAACAGGGAATGACATCATGCTCCTCAAAGTAAGTACATATTCATTCAGCCCAGTTGTCCCATCAGTCATATTATAGCATTTAAGGTAAAAAAACATTTCCAGTAAAGATAAATGTAAAAAGTGGCAGTAAAGCAGCTAAGGTTCCATTACGGCCTGCCCTGTGCTGCATGTCATCCCCTTCCTCTCTCCTCTGCTTTTCTTTCCTGTCTCTCTCAGACTGTCACTATCACACATGAAACAAAGAAATGCCAAAAAATCCAGTAAAAATGTTGAATAATTACATTCAAAACTCTAGCAAAACCTATTCAGGGCAACAACAGCTGCATTTACTGTAACTAACAATAACCTTCATTTAAATGATTCACTCGCTCCAACTTTTGGCCAGTTTTTAATAATTTCTCATTTCTGATTTTGTGTGTCTCCAGCTGTCTAGTGAAGTTCACTTGAGCCAAGCAGTAAAAGTTATCCCGCTTCCTAGCTCTGACATGAACATACAGGATAACGAAATGTGCCATGTAGCTGGATGGGGTTTAACTAGAACTGAAAGAGTTGTTGATGACCTGAGAGTGGTAGATGTGTCTATCATTAACCGGAACGTCTGTAAAAAGGAATGGCCTCACCTTCCTGACAATGCTATCTGTGCAGGTGGATATGGCACAAACAAAGGATTCTGTCAGGTATTGTTTCTGCCCTTGTTTCTAAGAAAGCTATACACATTTGACACCATCTTGAATGAACATATTAAGATATTGTCCTCCTGACAGGGTGATTCTGGTGGTCCTCTGGTGTGCCGCGGGGTAGCTGTTGGTGTTGTGTCTTTCAACCGACGTGCCAACTGTAACTACCCAGACGCCCCCAACGTCTATGTGGATATCTCAAAGTTCCTTCCCTGGATCAACAAGGTTCTCAAGGAAAAAAATTGTTAAGTGTAACAATCTTACACAAAGCTTTGCTTCAGCATACTCTCATTGTACTTGGGAGCGGTAGTTGTATCTGAGTTGCTCTGTCAGTGTTTGCTCTTTAACTCAAAGCAAAATAAAAAATGATTTAAATATTGTTTTCTCTTTATTTCATCAGAAGACACTAAGGTCCTTTTCCCAGCAACATATGCAAAAAATGTCTTAGGCTTAGTTTAGTGTTGTAGAGCTACATTGAAAACATATGATTAAAATTTTATTATTTTATTATTTATTTGATTGAGGAGGCACTTTAGTGTGTGTGTGTACATCTCTGGCATACAGTGTTTCCAGTCCAACACTCATTTTCATGACTCTTCATTTGAAGACTTGTTGGTGTGAAGATCTGAGGATGGAAACTGTGGTTGTGTGAGTGTCCTGCCAACATAACAAATGTCTGCTTCATGTTCTGACACATCGGATAAAGTTAAGATATATCCACAAAATGTTTAGTGTAGTAGAGCTATGTTGAAAATATTAATAAAAACTAAACAGAGCTATTTCAACACTTTTACAGTTATAGTCATAACCTCATATCATTATTTAATTTACTATTGACCAATGTTCGTACAAGTGATATTATAAAGATGCACATTTTTTTATTTATTTATTTATTTGATCCAGGAGGCACTTTAGCCTCAGTGTGTGTACATCTCTGGCATACAGTGTCCCCAGTCCAACACTCATTTTCATGACTCTTCACTTGAAGACGTGTTTGTGTGAAGTTCTAAAGATGAAAACTGTGGTTGCTGTGGTTGAGCTAGTTTGTCACAGAAACAGCTTGACGGGGCTGTGTCACAAACGGTAAGAGATAAAGGCCAGACAGAACAAAATACAGAAATTAAAGTCAAAGTTGACAACGACACCAGAATGCAAAGGACAGTTAACAGATAACATAAAATAAACCAAAATACTAAAATCTTACCTAAACCTCCTAAGTGAAGAAAGTTAATATCCTGGTAGGTGTAGATGCAGTAGGTTTGTGCAGCTGTTTAAATACAATATCATAGAAACACATCAAACAACAGCATGTTGGCTTGTTGGAAAATCAAGCAAATGTGATGATAACGTATATTATAGCTGGTATTGTGACTTTACCACTTTATAAGAAACACACACACTTTCTCATTAATCATTTCAATCACTGTTTTCCAGACAATGTGGACTTTGAACTAGCATTTATCCACAATGTTTACCATTGATAAAAAAGTTTAGAAATTTTAGTTCATCAGAGGATGTGATGTTCATGTAATGCTCCAAAGCCGTTATAACTCCACCAGTTTCTTGCTTCAATTATGAAACCCTGTTTTGAAAATCTAAAACCACATCTTTTGCAATCCCACCAGCAACTTCACAAAGGAAAAAAAAACTGTATGTTAGCAAACACCCTGAAGCAATAAAGACCACAAAATGGGCAAGATGTTGTCCACTCCCCTCCCCCAAAAACCTGAAGACCAAGGGTTGGAAGTTCTGGATTTGACCAAAGACCATGGCCATCATCTTTGTACTACTGCTGCTCTTTGTTCCGAATGGTAAGCTATCTATATATTGTAAAAACCTTTGTTACAGGCCTTTATATTTTATATAACCATAGTAATAAAAGAAGATTTTGTGTTACAGGAGCTGATGGCTCTCGTATTGTTGGAGGCAGAGAGGCTGCCCCCCACTCTCGCCCCTACATGGCCGCGTTGCAAGTCCGAGGTCGCCTGAACTGTGGGGGAACCCTAGTGAGAGAGGACTTTGTGCTCACAGCAGCACATTGTCAGATACCTACGTAAGAATTAAAAAATTTTACATTGGCAGCAATCATTAACTGATGGTTAATTACTTTAACAACTCTAACAGACATCACAGGATTTGAAATAATGTTAAACGTCATAATGACAATGACTCTCAAACTGAGAAAACATTGTGGTCAATTCAGGATAAAAATCAGCTTGCACTTTGTAGATTCATTGTGGTGTATTACTGTTTCAAGCTTAGAGAGAAATTATTAACAGTCGTCACTCAATTGGGATGTCTAGACCCTACACAGTTGTACTTGGAGCTGATTCCCTGTCCGGTAATGAATCTACAAAGCAGGAGCTCACCACTGTCAGATCCATTCCACATCCCAGCTATGATGGACATGCAAATGATATCATGCTCCTAAAGGTGAGGACTAAACTGTTTGTTAATCTGTATCAGATCTGAAGTAGAAGAATCCTATCGTCATTGTTGTTTCAAGTTTGCCCAAAAGCATAAAGCATGTTAAGATAACACAAACTCTAACACAATTTACATTTTCTGTATTTTCCAACCATTAATCTCCTTGTCTCAGCTCAACCAAAGGGCCCAACTGAATGAAGCTGTGCAGCTGATCCCTCTGAAAAGGGGCAGGGTGAGCACATCCAGTAAGTGCATCACGGCTGGCTGGGGGGATGTCGGGGATAACAACACCTTGCCAAACAGGCTTCAGGAGGTCAATGTAACCACCCTGACACAGCAGACCTGTCGTAGCAGATGGAGTGGTGTTCCCATCACCAGGACAATGGTTTGTGGTGTTGGGGGTGGCGTCTTTCAAGGTTTCTGCTCGGTAAGAAAATACACTAGTTAATTGTTAATCTGAACCCCAAACTGAAGGAGTTGTCTTTAAGTGTGTAAACGTTTTTTCTAAATTATGTGAATATCACATTCAGTAAATGTAAGCAAACCAGATAGATATTGTTAAGGTCTGAGAATGTCTTGTTAATAGAAACATTATTCTTGATTCTTTGCTTCAAGCAAAGTACACCTTCTGTTAACTCTCTCATATATTTACTTTTTAAGGGGGATTCAGGTGGTCCATTGGTGTGTGATGGAGCTGTAGCAGGTGTCGTCTCCTTCTCTGGCCGGCGATGTGGAGACCCCAGAACGCCTGATGTCTACACACGCGTATCATCCTTTAGGGACTGGATTACAAGTGTGATAAACAGCAATTAGGCTAATTAGATTGAATGGTAATGTGTCACTATGCTTAATTGGAATGCACTTTGAAGACAAGGCTCTGAATGAAATGTGGTGTTATGTTGTTTGATATCTGTTTAACAATGCAGCGCTGTGGTTGTTGAGATAAAGATAAACCTTTACTGATCCCCAGCGGGGAAATTTGGTTGTTGCAGGAGCACAATGACAGAAATAAGTGCAGATAAGTATAGAAAGTAAATAAATAAATAATAGAGGGATACAAAACTAAACCGAAATACAAAATAGAAACTATACAAGAGCTTTTGGAGACAAAATTACAGGTTTAAATTACAGTGGTGTGATTAATAGCAGCAGAGTCTATGTAAACAGCAAACCCAGACTTATATATAATATGATTAAGTAATGGAACCTAGTTTTCTGTGTATAAATGTTAGATGAGTTGGTAACTGATGTTTTTGTCACCTTTTGTTTTTGTTACATTGCATGCGGTCGATATTTGTGTCAGGCAAAGCTATTTTCATTCATTTAATTTCATTAAAAAGTGTCAAATTTGCTGAGCTGAAGGTCAATTCCCATGCATTCACTTTATTGTAGTGAACATACTCTATGTATCAAACAGTGACACCACCTTCATGATGAATAAAACCATTATTTCTGCAAGTTTTTGTTCATGTTTGTTTTGATATTTGGTAAGTAACTTCAATCTTGGAGCATAAATGCTGCCCTGCTTGAATTGTTCCCTTTATAAAGATAGCTAGATAGACAGCTAAGCATGTGTGGCATTCAGATGAACAAGTCAAGCCTGAGTGAATGCGGTCTGTTTAGTTGTCCGGGTGATATTGTGTGTATTTATATTATGTAACTTGTAGTGCAGCTGTATGGTGCAACTTTATAATGTCATTCAACATAATGGTAACAGGTGATAGTGGTGCATTGCAGGGACTGTTGAAGTTGTGCCGAGAGGGGAGCAGCTGATATTCCCAATCATTTGCTGATACTCAATAACCCTGACTTCCAGGTCAGTGGTGAATGTGACTAGCTCCCCTGTTGTCCTATAGATTTATGATCCTCTTGGTACTGATATGCATTCAGGTAATATTTCAAGATCATTTTAAAATTTCACATGTTGCCTTTGAGTGCTCCTTGAATCAATGAATCAAGGTTTAGGTTGAAATTATTAAAATGGACTTCACAAAGACGATCAGGCCTCAATTTTATTTTATTTCAAAGATCAGATGTAATAAAAGAGTCACAAATTGTGCACTAAGCATTTTAGTGTTGTGTTGAGTTGATTTTCTAAAATGAACATGCTCATTGTCATAGGCCTGACAGAGGTATTTAAATGTTAAATTAAGAGTTAACTTACAAACATAACAATGATTTTACAATCTATGCTATTGCTTTATAACTTTATCACCTCTCTTGTGTTGTCCACCCCTTTAAGTAAAATTTTAGGCAACACTCGCGTCACAGAAAATCCTCTGATCGGTTATGCTGTGTACTTTTTTCATGTCGATCATGCGCACCAATACCGTAATTACGCTATTTCCTCTCCCTCGAACGCAGCACGCAGCCCTGTCTACACCACCTGTTAAAACTCTGGTCGTTAAAAGTCCATCATTGTCATTAAAACAACAGTTCCCACGATGCATTGCGCGCGTGTTCATGCGCCTCTCTGCGGTCACGGTAAACCACGGCACGCCGGGAACTGGAGTCTCCTCTCCGCATCTCCCATTTTCCACAGGTTTCGCGAGATTTGCATAGGCGGGTTGGCGTGTGGCAACATTTCTCTGCCAGACGAACTGAACAATACTGATATGAAATCTGCGTAAAGGTAATGGAAATGTGTTCCGAGGGGAGAATAAGGCTGTTAACACCCAGTTGTTGCTGGTGGTTGTTAACCTGCCAGCAGGGACGCCGAAGAGCGGATGTAGCTAGCCGCCTCCACTTCTGTTACAGTAACATCTGCATTGAGGTAGAGCTAGGACAGACGAGTGGTAACTGGTAACCTACAGTGTGAGGTGAAGGTGTGTTGGATTTAGTCCAGGACAGGTGCTGTATGGCGTGACTTATGGCGTCGTTTAGGCTCACCCCGTCATATTTAATATGTGTGTTGCTAATGTATAAGTTAGTTGCATTAAAATGTAACCGGCTAACGTTACACAGTGTAATTCGTCAGATACAGTGAAATGGCTGACATATTCTCTTGGAAGTTGTGTCAGACAGATTTTTTGTTGTTGTTGGCTTTTCAATTCTTAAACTGAAACGAGACTGCTAACTAAACATGATAAGCTACACAGGCTCGCCCAAGTAGAAAACAGTGACCTCCATTGCTGTGTAGTTAAAGTAAAATACACAGGAAGTTATTCCATCATGCTGATCTATTGGCTGTTGTAGTTGTCAGTCTAGTGAGCAGGCTGCAGCCTGTCACTGGTCTCTGCAGGCAGCCCAGCCTGTCAGCTGAAGTAGAGGCCTTCCTCATGCTATGTAGTATACAGTACATGTGAAGTTTGGCAGCTGTCATCTTCACTCATATAATAACAGTGCATTGCCCTGTCCTTCTCTTAAATCAGTAGCCACTGAATTCCTGGAGGCATGTCCAAGAAAAGGGGCAGGTATGTACAAACAGAGCTACTGTGCCATCACATGATGCCGTTATATATATCAGAATGTAACGTACATAACAGTAAAATATGCATGAAAAAGTGGCTAATCCAGGTATAAACCTCTGGAATTATCCAATCATTTATATTGGATGTATGTCTGAAATTAAGGACAAAAAAAATCATACTGCTTTCAGATTTTATTAATCAGCTGCATAAAAAAATAGTAAAGTTTTGATTTTGTTTTTTTTTTGCAAATAGACTTGAATAAGAAAGTTATTTAAAGTGGCCTCAATTTAACCTACAGTAACCTTCCAGAAACATCTCAGATATCATAAAGGCTTTTGTATATTGTTTTAAACGTTAACCACAGACACACAAACCTGCATATTCATCCTGTTTTACCAGAAAGCGGAGTAGCGGGGAGCTGAGTGACACGTTGAGCCCGGACCCCAACAGCATTCTGGGAGTCCGCATTCAGCATAACTGGCGTGAGAAGGGGAACCAGAGCAAATGGAAGGGAACAGTACTCGACAGGCTTAGTGTGAACCCTTCTCTCTTCATGGTGAAGTATGACGGCTTTGACTGCGTCTACGGCATTGAGCTGTTCAAGGACGACAGAGTGTCGAACCTTCAGGTCCTGTCGGAAAAAGTCGGTGAGTTAGTTAGCCTCTCTTTTAATCTATGCCAGCTAGTTTGCAACTGTTGGGTTATAGGTTTCCACGTTTCTCACTTTTATATTGCTGCGTCTGACAGTAAACAACAAGATCAAGATTCCTCCAGGGGCGGAGGAGCTGGTGGGCAAAGCTGTGGAACATCTGTTTGAAAAGGAGGACGGAGAGAAGAATGAGTGGAGAGGCATGGTCCTCTCTAGAGCTCCAATTATGACCAACTGGTATTATATCACATATGAAAAGGACCCCGTTCTTTATATGTACCAGCTGTGGGACGACTACGCTGACGGAGACCTCAGGATACTGCCTGAAGCAGGTACTGCTAATTTGGATATAACAAAGACAGATTTATACTGTAGAAAGCTTTATTAAGTCTTTGATGATCTTGTCCTAAGGCTTTATAGATAGAATCAAAAGTGGCCGCTGTGTGACGTGAATAATTTTTCCACTTGGGAAGGTCGTTTAATGTTGTTTGGCATGGATAACATGTGAGTTCACCAGCAGTCACAGTGGTCATGGAAGTATTTATGACTAGTATTCATCAGGAGGGTTTGAGTCCCAGTATCATACAGGCAAAATTATATATTTTAAAATAAGCACTTCTTGCAATCCTTGCACACTCGCGGCATATGTTGTCACGAGTTGAAGTTTTCCACAAACATACTTCAGTCTTCAAATCAGACACTGTTTTCTCCAGGAGTTTAGATATTTATGAAAGGTTCAATGATGAGAGCCAAGACTCTAATCAGCGGTTTCATCACACAACTGTTTCTGGAGCTGTTCCAGAGGTAATGGATATGTTTAAACATGCACAAATTGCTGTTTCTTGAGAATATTAAGTGATTTGGCGCACAAACTACACTACACTACAACTTCTATTCAAGTTTAATTTAGATGATAAATGTTAATAAAATATCAGAATACTGAGGCATTATGATAGATAGTAAGACCTGTACAAACTGATATAGTTTGTCTGTTAAAGCTTTGTGCTCGTGGGAATTTTCAGATTAAGAGCTTAACAAAGTCATGAATTAAAAAAGAACAAGATTCTTACACTACAATTCTTGAAAAGCCCCAGATGATGTTTTTCTCTTAATTTCTATGTCAGGAAAAAATTATTGAAGTAATGGTAAAATTGAGAAAATAGGACTGGAGAAATAACAAGAGGGTGCACATTCCCTTATTTTTGTGATTCAGAGTCATGTAGCGATTGGTAAACTGAGGTGGGCCATGTAAAGAATAATATAGAGCCTTTGTTTTTAGCAGTAGTAGTAGTAAAGTAGTAGTAAAAAATATAATTGTAATGTTTATATAATGTTTCACTCCTCAGAAAACAAGCACCTGTTGCCTGCAGACAGGAAGCCAGGGGAAGAGACGGAGAGTCTGGTGGGGAAACAAGTGGAGTATGTTACTGACAAGGGTGTGAAGAGAACAGGCCTGGTCATCTACCAGGTCCCAGCCAAGCCCTCTGTCTACTATATCAAATATGATGATGACTTTCATATTCATGTCTATGACTTGGTCAAAACCACCTAGAGATAGTGGACACTTTCTCACTCTCCAGCCTCCGTCCATCTGCTTCTGTTCCACTCATTGTTATAATCTTGTTATTCAAAGCCATGACAGGGTTAAATAGTTAATATGCTTTATTGTTCGGAATAAAGTGCAATCTGTTTTTCATATGCACAGCAGAACTGTAGCACCGCTATGCTTGGCTATTTCGAGGAGAGGGTGTTGACTTGTTTTAATGTTGCTGCTCTACTTTATACTTTAACTTCGGACAGTCCAAGATTGCACTGCCCAACAGCTGCAAAGTGCAGTTGTTACTGCATTTGCATTGTTGTCCCTGAGATACTCACTGATCTGTCCTTAAAGTAATTATCTTAAATTAAACCGCAGTGTGTACTGAAAAAGCTGCTCAGAATATCCTTTCGAAGTCATTTTTCTTTGGATCATCTAAATAGCTAGTAACCATGATACATACATTATTCCATTTAGGATAGATGTCTACCACTGAGACATTTATCGAATTACATGTGCAGATAAGTACTGTACACGTATTTATCTGCACATATTATCAAGTAATTTAGCGTTAGCACTTGTAGGGATGAATGAAAGCAGTATTGTCACATCACCTTAAGGGGCCCCTTTTATTCGTTAAAGGCTTTTAGATGAATTATACTCGTGGAAATATATTCCTGCACCTTTGCACCATGTTTAGGATTGTATCAGAGCAAATCCTTTGTATTGGTGATGAAGATCCAGTTTGCTAAATTCTCATTTCAATTTGATCCCACACAAATCATAAAGTGCCTTCCGGCTTGTCATTCTGCAATATTGTACACGCTCAATCTCTGACTATTTAAGCACTTAATGAATCATTGTGTACGAAGGCTGCTATTTGGTTTTCATTCAGAAGTGGTGACACTGACAGCTTGAGGAAAGTTTTTGCAGCCATCAGTTTATATTTGTGCTGTTTTGCTCTTCATGCGGATTTAAAATGTTCTTTAAATACAACACACATCATCCTTGGTTGTATAATCTCACTGTTGATATTGTGGGGAGCACTTTATTGTATAAAAGTTTACATGTTAAGGTTACGCTACAGTTTCCCCAAATTGCTTTTTCCTTAGGAGAAAATGTGGCAGAATAAATGCTTTATATCACACGCATGGAAAAAGAAAAAAAAAATCTTGTTGCAATACAGATGACAGTATTTAATATGTACAACTTGTGTAAAATGCCTTGTAATGTTGCCTGTCGTGATTACTCTCATTTATACCAATATCTCATCGATACAATACCACCAGCTTTTAGTGAGAGTTATTACTATACATAAATTATAAACCGAATATTAAACAGGTATAATCAACTGACAAACCGGTTTGTTGACAGTGACTAACTTATTCTGGTTCTAGTCTTTATAACTTTGTCTTGCAAACATGACATGTATGCTTGCAGTGTGGTATTGGTATTTCATCCCAACTTCGTCACTATGTCCTAGTTGCTGAATTGGTCTCAGCCTTCTGCGAGTCATTCAGTGTGTCCCTCTAAACTAGTCAATCAGTAAATTTACTATTACGGTTATTTTTAGCTATCAAACTCTGCATGCATTATCTGAACAGAGTGACTGGAGATTTTCAAAACTTATTTTGACAGTAGACAAGTGTGTGGCAGAATTGGTACCGTTTGTTCAACCCACATTAAAGAACTAAACAAAAAGGTTAACACTGTACATCACCGCTAGTGGTGCTGCGGAGTGTTTTTATGTTGTGTAAAGTGGAGTTACAAATGACTGTGTGCGCTCTTCTACATGCTTTTCAGTCACCACCTCCTGCGCTGAAGCTGTAGCAGCATCAACAGGCCATCGGTGTCATGATTATTCTTTCATGAGTAATAAAGATTTTTGCACATTTGTTTGGTCTCGTTCTTTGAACACACTGCCACGACCCACATGTAGTACGTATCGTGCCTCAATAAATCAAACTTAAGACTGGACGTGTTTTAAGATCGATGTATTATTTAGTCACAAATGGTGAAACTGCATATATATATATATACACACACAACAGACATTCTCTTCATAATATTTGGATGGTTTGAGCACAAAGGGGAGTAAAATATTGTGTATCAGACAGTTCTGAGAAAAATTGAGTTTGATGGTACACAGAAAACCAAAGAACAATTTCTTTTAGAACACATATTGCTTCCTAGCAATATGTACAATACGACTCCCAACCAATGCCACTATCATTTAGAGGACCACAGTACCCATTCAGGACACTACACTCCTTGTAGCTGAATTTCAACACACATTTTTCTTTCATGTTGGGTGTTTCTTCTTTCTTGTCAGGGGCTGCAACTTTTGAAGAGGTAATGTCATTTCTTAAGTGCAAAACTCAAAAGATTTATAAATTTAAGGTTGACCAGAGAGTTCCCGTTCACTTGGTGAGGTCTTTCAGGTACTGCAAACCCTGATTTGTGTAATCATTTGCTTTTGTTGGAGCCTCTGAAAGAGATGAAATTGTCCACCGCACTCCTGCAATAAAAATAAATGGTTTGGGTTTACGTACAAAGCATTTCATCTCAGAGTCATAACAGTGATGCTGAAACTGATTACTAACCCAATGGAATGCTAAAAATACCACTATCTACCAAGTGAAGTGAAAACACAAACTCATGACATTACACAATTTGTACCCTCTATTTAAAAAGGGGAAAAAAAGCCTTTCATTCAGTTCTTACCAGAGTTCCACGACTGAAGAGGGGAGAATTCAATCTTAGGCATGGTTGGAAGTTGAGCCTGAGGAGGAGGAGGTAGTAGAAAGACATAATGCATGAAATGTTCAAGATAGAATTTTGGCTGATCACTCTTCTCTTGCGATACTACTGAACATCATGTGGACAAAGTGCACCATGTGTACCAGAGGCAATGACGAGTGAGGGATTGACCTTTTGGTGCTTCACTGAGGAGTGGGAATAGTTATATTACTCCAGTATTACACCAGAATACGGATATGAAACATACAATAAATATAACTGGGCTGATTATTGACTAAATAGGTTAAACTAAGATGATTACTGTTAATGGTCATTTCTGAACTGACAGAACTGGGTAAATAAGATTGGGAGTGAACCAAAGCTGCATACGAAAAATATTATACAAATAATTGTGTTCTTTTCTAACAAAGAGAAAATGGTCTATTTGGTTCAGATAAGAGCTGGTTTAATGCCTTTCTACTGAAATGGGTCGGTACACTGTTTTAGGAGAACAAAGTTAAATTTGTCCAGTGTGTGATCTGGGATAAATAGAAAATGAGTATTATTTTGTTTTTTATTGGCTGGAAGCTGTTCACCATTGTACTGTAAATACAACATTTCTGTCTTGTAAATGTGTCTTAAAATACAATGAGGAATGGCCCATGAGATGGCAGGATACTAAAATTCAACTAATTTATTTATCCATTATACTAACCACCAAAAGCATTATCAGGGGTGTCTACAGCATAGATCTGTAGCACTGTGAGCAAATTAATAAATAAAAACTATGCCTGACATGTTTTCCTCCCTTGTGTTGCATTATCATGCCTACTAGCCCACACCCAGGGCCGTCCTGGATCAGAACAGTGCTTAAGCAGTGCATCTCATCTGTACCTCCATGCCAAAGTACTTCATCCATTCCTCTACGGCGGGGGGTATTACAGCCTTGGCCTTCCCCAGAGCCTCTGAGCCCTGCTCACTGCTCCCCAACAGACCAGAGTCATAGGCAACGTAGAGAGCTCCTCCTGCAATGGTCACCTTGGTGGCCAGCCTGAAAATGCAACAACAGAGGCAGTCAGATACCCTGTATCCGGTCCAATACATGTCAAACTGATTGAAAACATCATTACGTGTTACTATTCCAACAGTGCACCATGTAAGAGTATCCTTTGATGCGAATAAATCATCTTCTAGCCAAGCTAGCTAGTGACTAATTATAAATAAAAACATAAGCTAGCTAACGTTAGCGAACAAAGAAGATGTGTGTACGTGAAGCCATCGAAATTGGATATATATGTAACGTTAGAATAAAATAATTTATGAAGTATCATTAAGTTATTGAGCAAACTAACAAACTATGCACTCTGCAGAGAGGTTGAAGACGACAGCTGACAGCTATGCTAACGTAGCGTCAGTTAGCTAACTGGCTAATCGAGCAGCTAGCATCTACAGCAGCATTAACTTCAGGGGAAATACGTCCGAAATTAAAAATACTAACTTCACTACGGGCAATATTCTTGCCGCCATGGTCCACAGGGGTGTAAGTTAGTTTCCTTTCACGCACTGTTATTCCAAGTAGGCCAAGAATGAGCTGAAGGGCAACCCGGCTGCCTGCTCTCTGTGCTCAAGGGTTTTGTCAATAAAGTTGCCCTTTCAAAAGATAGCGCTAACGCCATTTAACAGCGACAGATTCGTTATTATGGCCTTTTTTTTTTTTTTTTTTTGCTCCTTTGGCCAATTAAATTACAATTTGACGCCTTGATAATAAAAACTGTTATTTTAAAGTAAAGTGTTTTTTTTGTTTTTTTTTTATAAATAACAAACAGATATATTTAATTATTTCTGTCTGAGAAACTGGCCCAGGCCGATTCCAGTTCAATGAACCTTTTATCTGAACAACACACCCCGTTCATACCATACATGTCAAGAGAGAGGAGGGGTTAACTTACATAAATGGCATTTGAGTTTCCTCATTTCTCCTCACATTGAGAGACAGATCTGGAAACTGGGACTGTGGAAGTTTAGGCTCACCCCTAAAAGCTTAAAGTTAACCACCAACAAGTTCACAAAATGGGAACTTTCGTGAAAATCATATTAGCTAGCGTATGTGTTGCATTCCTTGCTGTCAAGTGGACTGCACCCAGTTTTGATGCAGGTAAGAGAGACGCATACAGCTGTTGATAGCCGGTCATTTGTTTTTATTGTTCCGTTTGGTCACTTTAATAGCAGCAGGCATGCAGATGTAGCTCAGTGACAAAGCGATGGCAGGTGGTGTGAGATCCACAGGTGGTCAGTGTATGTGTCTATATGTGTTATAGGTGACACACATGGGAGGAGATTGTGCTACAGTGAGACAATCAGTCCTTGCCTAAGGGTTAAAAATAACTTGCCATCTTCACATTTTAAGACCCCAGTAAAAATGTCAAGTGATAAAGTCATGAACATACAACTTGTCAAATAATGAAACCTAATAATCAAATAATGCACATGTAACAAACAGCGTTCTACAGGATGTAAATTAAAGTAATTGGCCAGTTTTACCTGATTTAGCTAAATTGCTATTGGATTAAAAAATAGTCTGACTGCTAATGCAGTGCTTTCTCCCACCTATAAGAACCCTTTGAATGCATGCTGTCTAATGTAACATTAATGTCTCTATTTAATATGTGTGGCATTTACTGTATTATATTTCATGATTACATTTTTATGAAAAAACAAAACAAATTGAACTATGTAAAAAAAATGTCTTGCAAATCTAGAAAATCTAGGCTTCAGTCATATTGTGGTGGATATCCCATGTTTTTTTTATGTTTGATTCTCTTCCCACATCTCTCTATTATTGAACTTATATCTATATATATTATATAGATATAATATGAAACTATATTGGTTAAAGAACTACTGGAAGGTATAGGCTGCTAAAAGTTACTCAACATACCCAGACAATGCGATCATTTTGTTGAGCGAGATCATTTCAGAAAATGTTATCCCCTTACTGATAAGCAGCCTATAAGACCAACTATTTAGGTATAACATTACAATAAGCAAAATCCCATATCATATCTAATCACGCAATCAATGTTGTATTGATATATTGCTGGAATGTGGCCCAGGATGTTACTGTTATATTCCTACAGGTTTATAATTTCAGACAAAAAAAAACTGTAGTAAAGTAACACATACACATACATATATTATAACACATTAACAAAATGGTTCAAACTGCTAAAATTGAATGCAGCAATCTCTAGCCCCATCACATTATGGTCTATTGCATTGTGGATCATATAATCTGTAGCATGGTATCACTACATGGTATCACTCCCATGTAAACTAATCATGTTTTACATGCACAAAATATGGTAATAAGGGTAAATGGACCTCTACTTGTATAGCGCCTTTCTAGTCTTCCGACCACTCAAAGCGCTTTTACACTACATGGCACATTTGCCCTTTCACACACATTCACACAGCCCATCAAACAGAAACTAACTTATTCATACACATTCACACACCAGGAGCCAAGGATCGTACCAACAACCTTCCGATTAGGGGACGACCCACTCTGCCTCTGCGCCACACAATATCTGTGTATAATAACAATGGTGCAAGTTTAAAGTTCCCCTGGGGAAATTTGGGAAAGGGAGCACAAACTGAGTGAGTAATTGGGGATAATCTGACACACTATCTGCTTGTGACTTATAGAAAGAGAGGACAGCATTTATCAATGCTGGGAGGACGCAGTGTACAGAGCTTCCACAAGTAATAAAATTATATGGTTTGAGTCAATGGGGTAGTGTTAATGTACGTGCACATCCCCATGTAAGGTTTTCAACAGCTGCAAAAGTATGTGGCCTTCTAAAAAGCAACTACCACAGCTAATACAACAGCTTTTGTCATTTTATATAACAACACTTTACAAATGGAGAATGAAATTTGATGATTTGTTTCATATGCACTATGAATTTATAGACATACAGCACAAAGGTGCAGTGTCCTGGAAGGGCAGTTTTGCCTGTAATCTCAGCAAACTCTTCCTTTCTTATCTTTTCACGTGTGGAAACAACAGGAAGAGAATATGCGGTTGACTGCACACTTGGCTGTTAAGGCACCAAAAGCAGTGACCAGTGCACTGGATAACATCAAAAACTGGAAAATTTCCTGTGTATTAAGTTAATAAATAAACACAATATCTGAACATTTTACCATCTTGTTCAAAGAGGGGACAGAAGATTGTGGCTATATATACCGGCACCTCCGACCTCCAACTCACACAATGAGTCTAATGAGCAAGAAGTCAAAGTCGAGACGTTTCACTATAATGTTGACATACATTGAGGACTTTGATTGGTTTATCTATTTATGGCAAAGTCCTATAGATGCTGACTGATTCTAGATAAAATAGAGATTGTGGTGTTATAAATTTGCTCTTCAGAGGTTCTGAAACCGAGACTGAAATCGCGACACAAAAGTCCACGGTCTCGTGTCGCGGATCCGAGAGACAGAACCGCGACACACTCGCTCCCTGGACCGTTGAGCTCCCGTTAAGACAGTGTAACTGCGGCGGTGGCGGCGGCCTGTGGGGTGGTAGCAGTGTACGCCTATATCGTATTTGTATTGACAATAAGTTATTCTAGGTAATTTTCCACCTTGTTTTAGTGTTTATTTACTACTTTAATCTGCTCCCTTTCTGTTCTCCCCACACTCACACACAGCACACACACCTAGCCTGGACCTCTGCTCACTCTATTGATGGGTCGGTTGCGAACGATCCGGCTCTAAGAGCCGGCTCTTTGAAGTGAACGACGGGAGCCGGCTCCTGATTGGGAGCCAGATCCGAATTTTTTTTCTGTTAAAGCCACGTGATTGGTTAAGATGTGTGGCGGCGTCTGTGTATCTACACTCAGCAGGAGGGGGGAGGGAGGGGTTACAGACGCACAGTGACCACATATGTGATAGACGGTTTAAAGGCAGAGTGTAGACTGTGCAAAGTTCAAAATTTCATATTGAGCAGCTTTTTGTCTAATTGAGATGGGTCTTTGTTTTTGTATTTTATAATTTATTTTTGTAGCACTTTTCCATGTTGAGTATATTAATAAATCCATATAAATAATAAACATGATATGATGTATGTATTTACATTAGATATTCATTTTACACATAATTTGGTAATAAATTAATTTAAGCAACAAAAAATCTGAGGAGCCACTTGGGAGCCGAAAGAGCCGGCTCTTTTTAGTGAGCCGAGCCAAAGGAACCGGTTCTCTAAAAAGAGTCGGAATTCCCATCACTAGGTCACTCACGGCAAACACGCCCGCTTGCTCCGCCTCTTTCTGTCTCTCTCTCCCTGTCTGTGTCTCTGCTGACTTTCTCCATCAGCAGTACTTTCATAAACTCAGTTTAAGTGCGCCGCATGTGGGTCCAAACCAAAACCAACGTTAGTGAGTGACATCTGCAGTGGTGCGTTCACTGACGCTCCGTAATGTAAGATTTCTGCCGTATACGCTTAATGTAATATCAGATAACATGTCTCTCTCTCTGTTTCTCTGCAAAATGAGGAAACGGGGAAAACTGCGGTATGAATCGAACCGTGGCTCAAAAATCGAGGTCTGAACCGAACCGTGGATTTGGTGAATCGTTACACCCCTAACAAATAACAGTTCAGTGTCATCAAGTTCAGTTTCAAAACTTAATCTACTTTTAGAAGTTTATAGCATATACCTGTTGGAACAAATACCTGCCCCAGCACAATGCCAGTATCATAATCAGCATTTAAAAGACTGTGTCAGTGGCACTCAAATTTAAATGTTTATTAATTTCCATCAACACAACTGTGGTTACAGCACATATGTCATTTTGTGGGTCTCATGTATTTCACAGACTCTCTCAGAGGTGCCAGGGTAGTGGTGACTGGGGCCAGTACAGGTATTGGTGAACAAATGGCATATCACTACGCCCGCTTTGGAGCCCAAATAGTAATTACAGCAAGAAGGGAAAAAGTATTACAGCAGGTCAGTAAACAACATATAAATGTACTCAAACCAGTAAGTGTTAATTATTATGTAAACTGCCTGAGGAGTGCACTATAAATACATGTACAGTGTATTTCTAGAAACTTGAGTTGAAGGTTGAAGGGCACAAGTTTTTTCAAGACTGTTTTCTGCACCTGCATTGGACAGTTAATACATTCCCCCTGATCTTTGCTTTACAGGTGGCAGAGAAGTGTCTGAGTTTGGGAGCCCAGAAAGCGCTCTACATAGCAGCCGACATGGCCACTGAATCAGATCCTGACGAAGTGGTAGATTTTGCTCTGGAAAAGCTTGGGGGATTGGATTACCTGGTTCTCAACCACATTGGCCCGAGCCCCTTCACATTGTGGGACGGAGATGTGGAGCACACCAGGTGGCTGATGAAGGTAGTGCAGCATTTTGATTGTCTATCAGCACATTAAATGTGGGGAATGCACTGAATGTGCATGTGTGCTTTCCAAAGGTCAATTTCTTCAGCTATATTCAGATGGCTTGGAAAGCTATGGCCTCCCTCGAGCAAAGTAAAGGATCGCTGGTGATTGTTTCTTCACTTTTAGGTAGGTTTGCCACATCATTTTCATACATAATTTGATTGACTTGACTTTTAAACATATACATGTACCTATACGTACCTCATTATTTTCATCAGTTTTTTAAAAAGAATAATGACAATTAACTTTTTCGTAACAAAGTTACAAAGTTGTTTCTGAGGAAAAGAAAAATTAATACAAATAAAAAAACACGATGAAAAATGTTATGTTGTCAAAACAATCTAATCTCAAGGTCTTTTTAGTAGCTTTTAGAGCTTTCAGTTGTCTCACATGACCTTGATTGGTAGTCATGGAATTGTATATCTTCAAATTTAAATTTTTTGAGCACTTTAAAGAATAGTGGAGTTGTTATGTTAGAAAAAAATCTAATATAGAATTCCTGCCAAAGAAGACAATGTAATATGATCAAACGCTCCTACAACAGCTAATAAATGCTCCTCGTAGTGAGATGGTTTTGTACAGTATGAAAAATGTTGAAACACTAAATCTATTGGAAATATCTCATATTTAGTATTTACCCAGTGCTTCTGATCTTTTTTTGCTATTTGATGAACAAATAAACGACCAAAACCCGTAATAGGATGGATTTGTGCTCCTTAGATGAGTTTAGTTACAAATATATGTAAATCCAAAGGACATTTTGTCCTTGCTTTTGAAGATTTTGGAAATATTAAAATCCTGATGAATCCCACTAAAGTTCTTAATTTGTATGTTTGCACCAGACAAGATCATATTGTGCGTACAATAGTTTCATAAATGAGGCCCAAAAAAGGCCACAATAGAGTCAAAACAGTGTTGGAAAACCTGACTGTTCCTTCACAGGTAAAATGCCCAGTCCTTTTGTGGCACCGTATACTTCAACAAAATTTGCATTGAATGGTTTCTTCGGGGCCCTTCAGCATGAGCTGGCTATGAAGAAGAGCAATGTGTCCATCTCTATATGCACACTGGGGCTCATTGATACCGAGGCGGCAATGGAGAAAGTCAGGTTAGTCAAATACACAGTTACTAATGTTAACCAAAGTCCAAATGCAAAGTGTCTCACAGCTACAGCAAAGTGATCACTGACACTTTTATAATGATATTTAAAAGGGAAGGGGGCAGGCAACAAAGAAAAAAAAACAAAACAAAAAAAAAACATAATAGATATAATATATAATTCAGAATCATTAAGGGGGGTGGACTCAGTTGTTTGTTGATTCTTCATTGATAGTAAATTTAGATATGAGAGGAGGCGGTTTCCATTAGAGCCCATTGGGGTTGTTTGTCGAGTGTCATATTTGTTTTCCAGAAAAGAAGTTTGTTGATGTTGCAGCCTCCTTTCGATCTGGGGAGTTGAAAGACCGTTCTCTTGAGATATGCTTGCTTATTACACCATAAACAATGAGTTTATCATTTGATCAAGTGTGGAGAAAAATATTGGAATATGTTGGAAAGCATATAAAAACTATGGTAGCCCCTGCACATCTTTTTCTACTGCTATCCGCTGTTCTTAAATGTAATATTTTTCTGTGTCCTAGGGGTGTCACTAATGTACCAGCCTACCCTGCCACAGATGCAGCCTTGAACATCATCATTACAGGAGCTACAAGACAGCCAGAGCTCTTCTACCCTTGGTTCACCCACATTGTGACTCTCAGTAAAGACTGGTTCCCTGCCATCACTAACTATTTCATCCAGAACTCCTACAACTACATTCCATGAAAAACATTCATCTGTAGTACCATTATTCAGTACATGGGTTAATATTACTATTCAGTATGAGCTGTTGCATCATATTCATCATGTATTGATACACACTGGGCATGATGATGCTGTAGACAGCCCTGTCTGTAATCGATATATTCCACTACCCAGATTTAGTCTTAATATTTTACTAATATTTAACCTTCCAGTTTGAAAATAGTTTTTCCTTACAGCTAAACTGACCAGAATACTATATATAACAAAGTGAATCCCGTCCACCTTTCCTCATCTTGCCTTTGGTAGAGGTCCAGTTATAAAAACTCCATGGGGGAGAACATCTTATGGATTGGGTTTGTTTCATTTTGGCCTACCTCAAAGAGATTTTTTTTAAAAAGGGCTTAAATCTACACAGTACAACCAATGTGGACCATCAGCTAAGGCACCAATAGCCATTACACGCAAATTAAAAAATTCCACCCAGTACTCAGAGCACAACACGTGGAGCAGTACACAGTAGGAGAACACTCAACAGACGAGTGTCAGGAAAAGGACGTTTCTGAAGAGCAGAGGACACCTTCAGGATTCAGTGATGGTTGGAACATTTGACATTACTACAGTTCTGTGGTGAAAGTGAGAGGCTTGGTGAAAGAAGAAGACATTTTCTCCCAGTCGTACTGTATTTATCTTTATTGTAAAACATTTCCTTTCTGAGTGATTTTGGGGATAGTGAAATAGTCACTAGAGGTGACAGGATCACCGCACAAAGACCGATTATAAACTCTGCAACCACTGATTACTAATTGTAAAACTGATTGGAACCCTTGAACATTAAAATCATTTTGTTTTTAAAACATTCAGTCCTACACACTCAAAAGAATCAAGTACATGCTCAGTACCGTACCTCAGAGGCATTTAACAGAATGAAAGAATACATTGAATGTCCACATGGGGGCAGTAGTGCCAAAGTAGTAAAGTAAGGCTACTTCATCCTATTTACAGCAACCAGTCCATTCTCTGTTGAGGAAAAAAATCCTTGATAGCACATCGTCATGCATTTGATGGTGATGTAGCAATGTGGCTTGAAATAGTTTTATACAGTACTGGAGAATTGTGTCCTGTTTGTTCTCAGATTGAATCATCTGACTTTCTTTTTTTTTTAAACCTCCATCACCATATCAATTCTCACCCTCCCTGTTCCTTTTCCTGTCTTCACTGTTCTCCACCCCTGGATTTCTCTCCATCTCCTCCATTCTTCTCTATTTCATTTAGTTTCTTCTTTCCAAAGCTGGCCACAGTAGGCATTGCAGACTTCCTACAGAGCAGGACTTTCTCAGCGGGTTCCTTTGTGTCTTTGTTCATCATCCCCCAAAAGCACTGCAGGCGTCCTGTGAAGCTGTTGGCTCAATCCATCCTGGTGGTCTTTTCTTTATTGTAATACACCCTAGAGGTTGTACCCTGCTGATAGAGTGGTTTTCTACTGTATACCACAGAGTGAGTTGTCATTGTCAAAAACAAATGCCTCGCTAAAAATTATAGTGTGATTTGAAAAAAAAAAAAGTTGAGAAGCAAAAAGAAGAACACTTTCTCCAGGATGCATATGAATGACTCTCCCACAGCAAGAAGAAGTGGCCTTGAATCTGTAATCTAAAAGTTTGCACAGTTCTCAAGCGCTTTGCTGTATTCATGTAGTCTTTCGGTCGATATGACTGATGGGGAGATGTCATTGGAATACACGTTCTCTTACTCCTTATCTTGACACTTCATGATTTGAGAGGATTGTAGAGACGGTATAATCTCCCTGCAGATGCCGTGGAAAGAAAAAAAAACTCTCCTTTTTCTGTCTCTTTCTCTGTCACACACACAAATATGGTGGGGCCTCCAGGGGAGGAGAGCAGGCATGGCCTGGGAGAACAGCCAGAAACACCTGCAACAGATTAGTGTTCCTAATGCTAGGTAATAAATCCTCTCACCCTTCTCTAGCATCTCCATCTCCACCAAGCATGGGTCTTATAGGCTGAGGAGCATCCACCCACAACACTCACACACACACACACACACACACACACGAACACACACACACACACACACACACACACACACACACACACACACACAATAGTAACAAACACTGAAACCTTGATACATCCATGAATCTATTTATTTTGTCTTTCTCTGTTATTATACACTGCCGAGCATGCTGCAAATGAAACTATACTTACATAATCACTATCCTGTTGGTTCAGTATCATGGAGATTTTCCCCAGGGTTTTAAATTAGACTGGGCTCTATATCAAGATCAAACATTTTAATTATGACTGCAAACAGCCAAGGCCAAGACCAAAGCTGAGGCTGGCTGCTTTACTGACTACACATAAAACTTGAAAGGTGGCAGACTGATTGGCCAATTGGACTCTTACTTACAGAGGTTTGTAATGGAGGGTGAATTCTGCTTTAATATCCGTGATACAGCGTATTATTTAATCTCTATGTCGACCGATAAAGAAAGACTATCTGCCTATATGCTACAGTAGTAAAATCAAACGACATGTAAAATAAGTCTATAACCTATTGCCAGATAGCATACGTTACGTCCTCGATTTTATATTTGCACACGACGTTTGCTGATGCAGCAAAAATTTCACGTTTCAGACCATAAATAGTCACCTATCCATGGCAATAATGCAGTGCACCTCAACCATCGTGCACCAGTCCCAATTTATGATTCTTTCTTGTCCTGCTTCTTTGAGCACAAAGGACACTGCTCCACAAATCTCTGTCCAGCTTCATCCATCAGTTGCTTTGAGCATTATAGAAAGAGCAGCCTTGATGTACACACACGCATTGTGACATGCATGTTCACTGGCTTGTGTGTTATTATGTGTGTGTGTGACATTTATCATCCACTGACTTTTGGGAATGGGTGACCAACTGGTGAGAATAGGACTCAGAAGCCTTCTGTGTGAAGGTGGAAGTAGATATGGCAGAGTAAACCATGAGCAAGAAGTAACACACAGATGTGTTATATGTGTGTGTTGGTGTAAGCCTGCAACATGGCACAGAGAGACATGACTCATGGAAAGAAGATAAAAGTAGCGATTGAAAGGAGTTTCACATTCAAAATAGATCATTTTAAAGATGTACCTGAAATATATTTGTCGCCAAATATATTCATAAAATTCTCTTATAAGAATGTGGTCATTGAAGAAATAATTCGACATTGCGGTAAATAAGCTTATGTGCTTTCTAACATGAGCTATTTGGCGATAGCTTATTACGGTAATTAACATTATTGACAGGGTCAATATGTTTTCTGCAAACTTTTCTTTTTAGTGCTTTCACAACACACTGTAGATTAGTTCGGAAATGTGAATTATTTCCGTGGTGCAATATGTACTGTGTCACTGCATATAGTAGTGAAGCACACATGTAAGTGTACTATAGTAGTTTATACATAATGTTGCTGAATAAAGGAAATATGTGAAGATGCACTGTATATAATGCATGTAGGCTAGTCTAGAGTCCTATACATATTTTGCACTTTGGTGATGTAAATGTTATCGTAAATCAAATTTCCTTCATTTATTGGCTCTTCAAGCACCAGCCATTGATCTACGTAGTTGTGTGAACCGATTCATTTTGAAAAGAATGTTAATCTGCCTGAATACTGAGCTTGTGCATGACCTCTGAAAAGTTTTCACAAAACATTGAGCTATGATAACAAAAGGAGAGAGTGAGCGAGAGAGACGGAGGGAAGGGGGGAGCGAGATGAAAACCTATGAAAGGGAGCGTTAGTGTGAATAAAAACTGTGGGTGTGAGAGGTGGCTGAGGTGGCCCTGTGACCCATGACCTCCTTCCCCCAGGTCCATTCAGAGCAGCACAATGGTTGACACCTGTGTCCTTTCAGTACTGGCACTATTATTATTTACATCAGTCAGTGGGAGAGAGAGAGAGAAAGACAGAAAGAGGCCAGAGGTGCTGTGAAGCAGAGTGCACCAGCCTCATGCCAACAACACCCCCCTCTTCCCCTCTCTCTTTCAAAGACAGGTGCCTTCCCATCTCTCTCTCTCTCTGTCTGCCGGTCTCTTCCTCTTTAATTATTTCAGATAACTCCAAACACATCGGCGGAAGGGACGGGGTGTTTTTACATCCTGTACCTGATGGTCCGCTCTTCTGTTTCACCATTAACACAGAGGGTGTCAGATTGGGTTAAGGGGAAAAAAGTTGAAAATGTTAATGCACACATCTGTTAGCAGAAATCCACAAAATGGCCGCTGCTGATTTCTCTTGATAATTTGGCACCTGCAGATGCAAGAAAGAATAATATGACCAAATCAAAAGTCGTTATTTTCCCAAACCGACATCAAAAGCACTTGCTAGCACAGCCAAAACAGTTTCAGTTGCATCTGAAATGGTTCGTTATAGAGTGATACACAGAGATTTGAGGGTATGTACAAGTATAATGATGTTCGCAGGACAATCCGTTCGTTATGTTCTTGTCATTTATCCCTCTCCTCTTGCTGATCAGGCTGGTGGGGCGAGTCACAGGGAGCATGGGTGGCAGGCTGGGGGTTACATGAATTCTTTTTTTTTTTTTCATTGGGGGAGAGAAAGCCCAATTAACAAAGGATAAGAAGTGAACCGTAAACACCCTCAACAAGGCCCAACAAACCTACAAGAACAAGAGCTGTCTCTCTCTCTCTCTCTCTCTCTCTCTCTCTCTCTCTCTCTCTCACCCCCCTCTGCTGACCACTCCTCCCCTCCTCCTCCTCCCCCCCTCTTGCTCACTCACTCTCTCTTCCACTTCCCTCACAAAAGGAAGGCTCAGAGCTTACAAAGTGCCAATTAACACTGAATGTTTGCCCCTCGCACCTCCCTCTCTGAACTGCTGACAGCTCTGGTGTTTGGGTTAATACCAAAGGCCTGCAAAGAATTATAATTCTCCTCCTTGCCCCATCCCCCCTTCTCTCCCTCTCCTATCCTTTTATTTTGTTTCCAATGGGGTGGTTTTACAGTTCAATGCACAGTCAAAGGGTGATATAAAATGACTTTCCAAAGAATTTCATTTGGGGAGAAGAGGGGCTGTGTTGCATTGGGGCTGCCCAGGGCAGGATCAGGGATAGGGGGGGACCCTGGTGAGGCAGAGAAAGAGAGAC